CTTTCCCCATGCCCCTCCTCCCCTCCTGCGCTCTCCCCTGCGCCCAAGTACCCGCGCAGCTTCTTATGCGCCTTCTTAACACTCTTCACTCCCCTCTGCCAGGGCCCCTTGCCCTCTCCCCCTGCTCCCCCGCCCCATCCCCCTTCCCCCCCCCCGCCTCCTCCCCCCACAGAACCCTCCTCCTCTGCAGCTATCCCACCACCCTCCTCTTCTTCCTCTGCTTCGACTCCTTGCTCTATAACGAGGACGTCTGGGTCCAGCAGGGCGTTGCCACTAGCGGATCCAACCCCTGTCAGCAGCCGACCCTTCCCCTCCTGCCCTCCCTCCCCTCTCTCCCCTCCTTCCCCTCCTTCCTTCCTTCCCCTTACCCGGCAGCAGTCTAGTCCATTTCTTCTTCCCTTTGCCGCCGCTGCCCCTCCCGCCCACCCCATCGTCCGTGCCGCCCCCCTCCCCTTCCTCCCCAACTGCGGCTGCCTGCAGACCACACCGCTGCATCTGCCCCTGCTGCACCATCAGCACTTGCAGCACCATCAGCAGCAGCGGCACCGCCTGTGCCATCAGCACCGGCTGACCCATCAGCACCTGCAGCACTCTCACACTCCCCTGATGTTCCGCCTCTGCCTGTGCCTGTGCTGCGTGACTGTGAAACCTCCGCAGTAGCATCACAAGGCGCAGCAGCAGGGGGGCAGGGAGGGGGTGGTCTGTGCGAGCACTGTGGGCGCGTGTGAGAGGCGCGTGTGCACCCGCAGCTCCCACGGTCCCTCGCCCCGTCAGCAGCCCCACATCAGTGCTGCGCGTGCGCTGTGACCTGCTGCTGCTGCTGCCTTCCTGCATTCCCACTGCTCCTCCTCCTGCCCCTGCCCCGCCAAACCTTCTCCTGGCCTCCCTGTTCCCCCTCCCCTGCCGCCGCCGCCGCCGCCGCCACCGCCGCTGGCCCTGGCATGGGGGGGGTGTGAGGGGTCCACCCTCTCATACCGCCTCTGCCTCTCCCGCGCCCACTTAGCCCTCATCTCCTCCATTCCCCCCTTCCTCTCCTTCCCTCCCGCCCCCTCACCTCCCCCTCCCCATCCCCCTCCCCCGCCCTCCGCCCCTTTTTTCCCCTTTGCCTTCCTCTTTTCATGCCCCATGCCACACCCCCTTCCCCTTCCTTCTCCTCATCCCCCCTTCCTCCCCCTCCCCATCCTCTCCCTCCTCCCCGTCCCCCTCTTCCTCCTCCTCCTCATCATCCTCCTCTTCGTCCTCCTCACCCCCACCACCGAGCAGCGCGCGCGGGTCTTCAAGGTCAAGCAGGTCAAGGGGGAAGGAGAAGGACGACGAGTGCAGGCGCGGCCCGCCCTCCTCCATCAGCTGCTCCATGCGAAAAGCCGGGTTGCTGCCACTGCCCGCGCTCTTGTCCGAAAACTGCCGCGGGAAACTGTCTGCTGCTGAGCTGGAGGGACCGCTGCGTGGCCGCGGCAGCACGATGCTGCTGCTGCCGCTGCCGCTGGTGGTGGTGCTGGTGGTGGTGGTGCTAGTGCCGGCACCTGTGGCGCTGCTGCTGCTGGTGGTGTTGGTGGTGGTGCCCGCCAGTGCCACCGCCACAGCTGCTGCTGGTGGTGGTGGGAGTGGAAATTCTGCCGCTGCTGCTGCTGCCAGTACCTGGTCTGCTAATGCTGCTGCTCGTGCTGCTAATGCTGCTGCTCGTGCCTGTGGTGCTGCTGCTGACAGTGGCGGTGCTTGTGGTAGTGGTGGTGGTGGTTGTAGTGGTTGTGGTGTTACCAGCAGCCACAGTCACCATCGTTGTTGTCACGCTGCTCTGCCTGAAGCTGCCCTCCTCTGCGCCTCTGCCGTCCCTACCAATGCCACCCCTCCCACTGCCATCACCACCACCACCAGCAGCAGCAGTGGCAGCAGCAGGAGCGGTAGGATCCGCAGTGGCGGCGGCAGCAGGGGGGTGGGAGGCGTGGGCGGTGAGGATGCGGACGTCCATGATGCGTGAGCCCACGGGGAACGCCAGCTGCCCCGTGCCCACGCGCCCATGCATGCGCGCACACTGCTGCACCAGCTGTGCGTACCGCTCGCTGCCAGGCACGCACAGGTGGGGACAGGAGAAAGAATGCGGAACAGGGAGGGAAGGAGGAGGTTGGTATTCCCTAGGGTGTGTGAGGGGTGTGTGAGGGCAGTCCCATGGCCACGCGCCCGTGCATGCGTGTACGCTGCCGCACCAGCTGTCAGTACCGCTACCTGCCAGCCGGTGGGGGGTGAACGCAGCTGGGTGTGGGGAACGCAGCTGGGTGGGGGAAGAACGCAGCTGGGAATTGGTCCGAGGACCACGTCCATGCGTTGGGAAGTGCGTAACTGGGTGAATGGGTGGGACTTTGCAGGAAAGAGGTAGAGGAGGAGATGGTGTGCTCACTCTCCGGCGGGCGGCAGTGACTCACCGGCGGGCGGCGCGCACGTAGTTGCGCTCTTCAGCGGTGGAGTCGAGGGAGAAGCACCCCAGCAGGAACTCCCACACCTCTCCTCGTATCGACCGGTCCACCCCCTGTACGTCCCACACACACATGCACGTGCCATCCACACGCCACACACACGCAAGACAGACGCAAGACACACGCCAGACACACGCCAGACACACTCCAGGCAGCATCACCCATGCGCGCACCAGGCACACAGAAAGGTGGAGCGGAGAGGAGAGCATGCGGGAAGGAAATCAATCCACGCAACGCCTGGAAATCCGCATCACATCAGGGGCGCACAGATGCGCCCGACGTCATTTCGAAGCGCCTGGAGGATCGTTCCCCCCACCCTCTGCCTTACACCCTGTCCCGCCCACCCGCTCCCCCCGGCTCCCCTTCCCCTTCCCCCCCTTGTAGCACTTTCTCGCCCCGTCCAGCACGGCGCGCAGCACGGCGGGCATGCGCACCACACGGGACGCCCTTCCGACGCATTACCCCCACCCCCTGCCTTTCCTACTGCTCCACCCGCTCCCCCTCTTCTACCCCTTTCTCACCCCGTCCAGCACGGCGCGCAGCACGGCGGGCATGCGCACGAGACGCCCCTCCGCGTCGAACGCCGCTCGCCACGCGCGCGGCTTCAGACGCCGCGCCCGCCCCGCCTGCATGGGGGAACAGTGACGGAGAGAGATGCGCGGGGGGAAGGGGCGCGGGGAAGAGAGGCGCGGGGAGAAGAGGCGCCGGGAGGAGATGCGCGGGAGAGAGAGACGCGGGGAGAGAGGCGCGGGGGAGGGAGGTGGTGGGGAGAGGCGCGGGAATGTGATGCGTTGAAGGCAATGCGGTGGGGGGAGGAGGGGCGGAATGAGAGAGGAATCAGGGGAGGGGGAACGAGGACGGGGGTGGAAGGGGGGGGGGGAAGGGAAGGGGGCTGACAGCACGGGAAGCGTCAGGGAAAATGAAAGGGAGGCGAGAGGCGCGGCGTGGCGCTCAGCGCGCACCAGCGTGGCGGCGCTCACCTGCGCGGTCCACGGCGCGCCGTGCTGCTGCTGGCGCGCGTCCGCGGAGATCCAGCTGCCATCCTTCATGCTCGTCGGCGGCTTCTCCACGCGCCCGTGGCTCCGCCCCTCTCCGCCCGACTTCTCCGCGCGCCCGAGCACTTTCCCCTCGCCGCCCGGCTTCTCCGCGCGTCCCCCAAGGCCCTTTATCTCGCCGCCGTGCCCCTGGCCGTGCGTCGACGGCGGGCGAAACGCCATCGCACGGCGCTGCTAACAGCGAAAAGCTTCGCAGATGTAGCGATGAATGCGACTCGCATGGGGGTCCCCTGTCCGCGCGTGCAGCGGTCCGGCGACGACTCGGAACGAAAAATGCGACGAGGCGACAATGTGCGACGTGTAACTGCAATGCGACGAACGAAACGACCTGGTTACCACTCCATTCGACCGATTCGATTCATGAGATGCCTACATTTCATCGACCGGCCTAAGCGCATGCCTCATTGCATCCCCGCGTGCAGTAAGCAATGCGCCTTCGCGCGGTGCATCTCGCTGCGCATTACGATAAAACAGCGAAGCTGCCCTGCTTGAAACGAACCGTTTCTACCTCTAGTCGCTTCTGGCCCTGTTCACAGCGAGTGAGTGTGTTGATAAGCTAGGATCGGATCATAGAAGCAGTGCTAGTAAGGAGCAGAGCAGACAAATGGAGCAGCAACAGCCACAGCAGGTGCCTGTGTGTGTGTGTGCGTATGGTACGGTACGGATGGAACTCAAGGCGCAAGCGAGTGAGGGGGATCGCACCTGCACAGTCCAGCCTGTCGGGGAGGACGCGTCACGCATACCCCTGCCCCACTGCACTGCACCCATGTGGGGCGGGGTGCGGAGCGGAGGGGAAGGACCACCGCGAGTGAGCGGGACTGCACTGCGCATTACTGTACTGTGCAGACGAGGTTGGTTGGTGGGCTCTGTTGGCGGGTGCTGCACTACAGTGTTCAATCAAAAGTAGTTCTTCATATCTTCATTCTTTGCTCGTTTGGAAAAGAAAGATTAAATAGCTGTTGTTCACGGCAGGAAAGGGGCGGAAAATCAATAGCGGAGACGCTGAAAAAGAGGTGTTTCTGGAAAGCGTGCTCTGGCACATTATATTGTCGGTCATGCCTCTCCTCCAGTGAACATAGATCGCCAAAGATTAGATCAGCTACCATAGAGACGCTAGCGGAGATATTTCTGTCGGGCGGGATGCGGATGAGCGAATGACGCTTTCTATTCGTGCTTCGTTGCTGCTAATTGGTCGAACCCCAAACTCGTTTTGGCGGTCCCGTGGCGATGCTGGTGGATCTGAATGCGTTCGCGGACGAGCATTTCGACCCCAAGGCGTGGGTCAACGATGCCTGCGCTGCGCTCCCGCCGGAGGAACCTCCGGAGAAGTTCCTCGCGGACATCGAAATGAAGCTGCAGCTCTTATCGGGTACGGTTATCCTCGCTATGGTCTTGAATTCGGTCAGCGACAAAGGAATCCGTCATCAGAAAAGGAATGCGTCAGCGGCACAGAATCCGTCAACGACTGTATGCGTGTTTGTGTGTGTGCTGCGTGTGTGCTGCGTGTGTGCTGCGTGTGTGCTGCGTGTGTGCTGTGTGTGTGCTGCGTGCGCGCAGAGGACATGAGCGGCGCGTTGGAGGAGCAGAGCGCGGGCGCGCTGCTGAGGGTGCCGCGCGCCGTGCGGGAGACGAAGCGCGTGCGCGACGACGCCGTGTCGCTCAAAGGCACGGTCGCCAGCATCCTGCAGCGGCTGCAGCAGGTGGAGGCCACGTCAGCAGCGTCAGTTGCGGTGCTGGCGAAGGTGGATGCAGTGAAGCAGCAGATGGAAGCGGCGAGAGACACGCTCCAGGTGAGCAGCAGACGCAGAAGAGCACATATTGTGGCTTGTTGTGGTGCTCACGCATCATCCCTGTCGCCCCCATGCTCTTTCAGATATGAAAATCGTGCATGCTCCAAGAGGTGCTGCTCTCTGCTCGCTGCACTCCTTCATCTCTCACTCCTTCATCTCTCACTCCTTCATCTCTCACTCCATCTCTCACTCCTTCATCTCTCACTCCTTCATCTCTCACTCCATCTCTCACTCCATCTCTCACTCCTTCATCTCTCACTCCATCTCTCACTCCTTCATCTCTCACTCCATCTCTCACTCCTTCATCTCTCACTCCTTCATCTCTCACTCCATCTCTCACTCCTTCATCTCTCACTCCTTCATCTCTCACTCCATCTCTCACTCCTTCATCTCTCACTCCTTCATCTCTCACTCCATCTCTCACTCCTTCATCTCTCACTCCATCTCTCACTCCTTCATCTCTCACTCCATCTCTCACTCCTTCATCTCTCACGTCCTATCCGCTGAACCCCAATGCAACTCATTACTACTCGCTCGCTCTTCCATTCTCTCCCCATTGTCCCTCTCGCATCACCTCCCCCATCCCTCACTCACGTTTCCCCTCCCTCCCTCCCTTCTCCACTTCCCCCATCCCCTTCCCCATCACCTTCCCGCTCTCCACTTCTCCCCCTCCCCCCTCTTCTCCGCCACCACAGTACGCGGCGGGACTGGCGCAGCTGAGCGCGTCAGTGGAGCAGGTGTTCGCCAGTGGCGACCTGCCACGTGTCGCTGAGACATTGGCCAACATGCGGCGCTGCCTGGAGGTGGTGGGCGATGTGAGTATCCCCGGCGCCCGCCTGCCCTTATGCTCCCGTACCCTTTACCCCGTGCCCCATGTCTTTTAACCCATGCAGCGTACCCCTTGCCCCCATGCTTCATGCCCCATGCTTCATGCCCCTTGCTTCATGCCCCTTGCTTCATGCCCCATGCTTCATGCCCCTTGCTTCATGCCCCATGCTTCATGCCCCTTGCTTCATGCCCCTTGCTTCATGCCCCTTGCTTCATGCCCCTTGCTTCATGCCCCTTGCTTCATGCCCCTTGCTTCATACCCCATCCTCCATGCCCCATGTCCCATGCTGCCTGTTACCTGGAACCTGTTGCTCCTCCACATCTTCCCCTCTTCCCTGCACCACTGTGTATGCATCCCTGCCTCTGCCCTCTCATATCGCACTCAACCCCAACCCTTACTCTCCAGTAATGGCCCCCCCTGAGTCCACCGCTTTCCTTGTCCCCCCGTCTTCCCTTGATCCTCCCTGTCATTCTCTGTCATCTCGATCATCTTTCAGGCACCGGAGTTTGCGGCAAACAAGAGGCAGCTGCAGTCACTGGAGGATCGGTTGGAGCAGATGGTGCAGCCGCGGCTCTCAGACGCGCTCACACACAGCAAGGTGGGTCTAGATTCGTGCACTCCATGCTTGAAGCACCTTGCAGAGCACCTTAGATTCGTGCGCTGTGTGTGTGTGTGTGTGGTATCATGTGCCGCGCTCTTATCCCTGAATTACCGCTTTCTTCTCTCACACCCACCTTCCCACACCAGCTGGACGCGTGTCGCTCGCTGACAGGCATCCTGGCGGCCATCGGGCGGCAGCACACAGTGGAGGCGCTCTTCTGCCTCGTGCGCTGCCGCCCGCTCACACGCCTGTGGGAGCAGTTCGAAGTCACTGCTGTGGCTCCTGGCGCAGGTAGGGGGGAATGGAGGGCAGAGAGGCAGATCGAGTTCAGCCGCCCATGTGAGGTGAGATCAGCCGCCCGCTCACACGCCTGTGGGAGCAGTTCGAGGTCACTGCCGTGGCTCCTGGCGCAGGTACGGGGGAGAGGGGCGGAGAGGCAGAGGGATTGGGATGGCAGTGAGCCCTTTAGTTCAAGTCGTGAGGTGAAAGCAGCTGCCAGCTCACATCCCTGTGGGAGCAGATTTGAGGCCACTGCTGTTGCTCCGGGAGCAGGTGGGGGGAAAGGAAGGGTGTAGGGACAGAGGGGTGGATTGGGGAAGTTGATGCATACGCTAAGGTTGTAAAGTGAGGGCTGTCGTGCAAGCCATCCCTTTCCTCCCCCCTTCACTTTTTCCTCTATCCCACACTCACCTCCTCTCCTCTACCCCACACACTCATGCTCCCACCACCAATTCATCCCCTCCTCTCCTCCCCTCTCCTGGTGCCTCGTCCCTCTCTCTCCCCAGGCCCACTACCAGCAGCGATACTGTTCCCCGAGTGGTTACCGCGTTGGTTCGATGAGATGCTACTGGCAGTGGAGCAGGAGGCGCGCTGGTGCGCGGCAGCTGCAACTCATTCCTCTCCCTCCCCACCACTCCCCCCTTCCCTCCTTCCCCCCTGGTCCCTCAGGCCCGCTAGCAGCAGCGTTACAATTTCCTGAGTGGTTACCGCGCTGGTATGATGAGATGCTGCTGGCCGTGGAGCAGGAGGCGCGCTGGTGCGTGGCCGCCTTCCCCAACCACGCCTCCCCGCTGCTGCTGCGCCTGCTCACGGCCACATGGGATGGGCTCTCTTCCAGCTTCACTGCCCGCGTCGATGCTTCTGTGTCTGATGCTGCACTTGCTGCGCTCGCCGCTGCTGCTGCCAGCGAATCAGGTAGGGAAGGGGGGGTTGTTTGCTGCTAAGTCTGCTTACAGCACAGCCACCTGGGGCGGGCTGGCATCCAGTTTCACCGCCCGCGTCGATGCTGCCGTGTCCGATGCTGCCGTGTCCGATGCTGCCGTGTCCGATGCTGCCGTGTCCGATGCTGCCGTGTCCGATGCTGCCGTGTCCGATGCTGCCGTGTCCGATGCTGCCGTGTCCGATGCTGCCGTGTCCGATGCTGCCTTGTCCGATGCTGCCGTGTCCGATGCTGCCGTGTCCGATGCTGCCGTGTCCGATGCTGCCGTGTCCGATGCTGCCGTGTCCGATGCTGCCGTGTCCGATGCTGCCGTGTCCGATGCTGCCGTGTCCGATGCTGCCGTGTCCGATGCTGCCTTGTCCGATGCTGCCGTGTCCGATGCTGCCGTGTCCGATGCTGCCGTGTCCGATGCTGCCGTGTCCGATGCTGCCGTGTCCGATGCTGCCGTGTCCGATGCTGCCGTGTCCGATGCTGCCGTGTCCGATGCTGCCTTGTCCGATGCTGCCGTGTCCGATGCTGCCGTGTCCGATGCTGCCGTGTCCGATGCTGCCGTGTCCGATGCTGCCGTGTCCGATGCTGCCGTGTCCGATGCTGCCGTGTCCGATGCTGCCGTGTCCGATGCTGCCGTGTCCGATGCTGCCGTGTCCGATGCTGCCGTGTCCGATGCTGCCTTGTCCGATGCTGCCGTGTCCGATGCTGCCGTGTCCGATGCTGCCGTGTCCGATGCTGCCGTGTCCGATGCTGCCGTGTCCGATGCTGCCGTGTCCGATGCTGCCGTGTCCGATGCTGCCGTGTCCGATGCTGCCGTGTCCGATGCTGCCGTGTCCGATGCTGCCGTGTCCGATGCTGCCTTGTCCGATGCTGCCGTGTCCGATGCTGCCGTGTCCGATGCTGCCGTGTCCGATGCTGCCGTGTCCGATGCTGCCGTGTCCGATGCTGCCGTGTCCGATGCTGCCGTGTCCGATGCTGCCGTGTCCGATGCTGCCGTGTCCGATGCTGCCGTGTCCGATGCTGCCTTGTCCGATGCTGCCGTGTCCGATGCTGCCGTGTCCGATGCTGCCGTGTCCGATGCTGCCGTGTCCGATGCTGACGTGTCCGATGCTGCCGTGTCCGATGCTGCCGTGTCCGATGCTGCCGTGTCCGATGCTGCCGTGTCCGATGCTGCCGTGTCCGATGCTGCCGTGTCCGATGCTGCCGTGTCCGATGCTGCCGTGTCCGATGCTGCCGTGTCCGATGCTGCCGTGTCCGATGCTGCCGTGTCCGATGCTGCCGTGTCCGATGCTGCCGTGTCCGATGCTGCCGTGTCCGATGCTGCCGTGTCCGATGCTGCCGTGTCCGATGCTGCCGTGTCCGATGCTGCCGTGTCCGATGCTGCCGTGTCCGATGCTGCCGTGTCCGATGCTGCCGTGTCCGATGCTGCCGTGTCCGATGCTGCCGTGTCCGATGCTGCCGTGTCCGATGCTGCCGTGTCCGATGCTGCCGTGTCCGATGCTGCCGTGTCCGATGCTGCCTTGTCCGATGCTGCCGTGTCCGATGCTGCCGTGTCCGATGCTGCCGTGTCCGATGCTGCCGTGTCCGATGCTGCCGTGTCCGATGCTGCCGTGTCCGATGCTGCCGTGTCCGATGCTGCCGTGTCCGATGCTGCCGTGTCCGATGCTGCCTTGTCCGATGCTGCCGTGTCCGATGCTGCCGTGTCCGATGCTGCCGTGTCCGATGCTGCCGTGTCCGATGCTGCCGTGTCCGATGCTGCCGTGTCCGATGCTGCCGTGTCCGATGCTGCCTTGTCCAATGCTGCCGTGTCCGATGCTGCCGTGTCCGATGCTGCCGTGTCCGATGCTGCCGTGTCCGATGCTGCCGTGTCCGATGCTGCCGTGTCCGATGCTGCCGTGTCCGATGCTGCCGTGTCCGATGCTGCCGTGTCCGATGCTGCCGTGTCCGATGCTGCCGTGTCCGATGCTGCCGTGTCCGATGCTGCCGTGTCCGATGCTGCCGTGTCCGATGCTGCCGTGTCCGATGCTGCCGTGTCCGATGCTGCCGTGTCCGATGCTGCCGTGTCCGATGCTGCCGTGTCCGATGCTGCCGTGTCCGATGCTGCCGTGTCCGATGCTGCCGTGTCCGATGCTGCCGTGTCCGATGCTGCCGTGTCCGATGCTGCCGTGTCCGATGCTGCCTTGTCCGATGCTGCCGTGTCCGATGCTGCCGTGTCCGATGCTGCCGTGTCCGATGCTGCCGTGTCCGATGCTGCCGTGTCCGATGCTGCCGTGTCCGATGCTGCCGTGTCCGATGCTGCCGTGTCCGATGCTGCCGTGTCCGATGCTGCCGTGTCCGATGCTGCCTTGTCCGATGCTGCCGTGTCCGATGCTGCCGTGTCCGATGCTGCCGTGTCCGATGCTGCCGTGTCCGATGCTGCCGTGTCCGATGCTGCCTTGTCCGATGCTGCCGTGTCCGATGCTGCCGTGTCCGATGCTGCCTTGTCCGATGCTGCCGTGTCCGATGCTGCCGTGTCCGATGCTGCCTTGTCCGATGCTGCCGTGTCCGATGCTGCCTTGTCCGATGCTGCCGTGTCCGATGCTGCCGTGTCCGATGCTGCCTTGTCCGATGCTGCCGTGTCCGATGCTGCACTTGCTGCACTTGCTAGTGCTACCCGCTGATGCAGGCGAATAAGGTAGGGACGGAGGGATTGGGGAAGCATGAAGGCAAGGGAGGGAGGGGAAGAGGGCTTGGCACCTGCACTCACCCCCTCTCCTATACGCCGCTCAACTTCCTTTTCTCTCCTTTTGCTGCTACCTGCCTTCCCTCCCCCGCCCTGCAGCATCTCAATCGCGGCCGTCCACTCGCCTGGCTCTGCTGCTAGCCCTGCACGCCACCACCACCACCTTCGCCCGCAACCTCTCCCGCCTCCTTGCCTCCCTTCCTTTCCTCCGCCACCGCCGATGCCACTAGACCATCTTCCTCTGAGAAAAACACTCAAGGAGCCGCCGCAGCAGCAGGGGGGAGAGCAGCAGTAGGAGGAGGGGAGAAGGGCAGCAAGATCAAGGGGAGGGAGGAGGAGGGGGAGCAGGAGGGGGAGGGGCCAGTGAGCGTGAACACAGTGGTATGGGCGGTGTTCCGTCCCTTAGAGCCGTTCAAGCAGCGCTATGGGGACTATGAGCGCGCCCAGCTGGCGGCGGATCTGGGCGGCATAGATCTGAGACCGGGCGGCGCAGTGAAGCAAGTGGGGCAGCGTGGACTCGTCCTGGCGGATGCTGTGCGGCGCATGGAGGTGAGAGGCCGTGCTGTGCGGTGCATGGCGGTGAGAGGCGGTGCTGTGCGGTGCATGGCGGTGTGAGGGGTGCTGGGAGGGGCATGGAGGTGAGAGCGGTGCTATGCGGTGCATGGTTGCGATAGAGGTGCTGTGAGGCGCCACTGCAACCACCCTTCCCAGTCTGCTGTTTCCCTCTTCCCATCACCTCTCCTCTTCCCACTCCCCCTCCCCCCCACCCTCCTCTTCTCTTCCGCCCACTCAACAGGCGGCCATCCCAGCAGCAATGGCAGCATTAGAGGCAGCAGTGGAGCGCTGTCTCGCCTTCACAGGAGGCTCAGAGGCAGCAGCGCTCCTCACCGCCCTGAACCACTCACTATCCCTCTCCTTTCCTCTCCTATCCCTCTCCTCTCCGTCTTCTATCCTCACAGGCGGCCATCCCAGCAGCAATGGCAGCACTGGAAGCAGCAGTGGAGCGCTGTCTTGCCTTCACAGGGGGCTCAGAGGCAGCAGCGCTCCTCACCGCTCTCGACCACTCCATCCTCCTCTTCCTCTCCCGCCTCTCCTCCTGCCTCCAATCCCTCCCCCCCATCTGCGGCCTCTCCCCTCCCCCCGCTCCCACCCCTGCCTCCTCCACCACTCCTGCTCCAACCCGAGCCTCCGGCCCAGGCTCGGACCGAACCACCAGTTCAGTGTCCGACGATCCGTTAGCCAGTCTACCGGACCCGGCGGGGTACGGGGGTGCAGGGGTAGGCGGGGTGGAGGAGGAGGAGGAGTGGGCGGTGGTGCAGGGAGCGCTGCAGCTGCTGATGGTGGCAGAGAGTGTGGCGGTGCGCGTGGCAGTCTTTGAAGCCTCCCTCCGCACTGCCCTCACGCAGCTCTCCCCCCGCCTGGGCCTGGATGCTGGGGGGGATGGCGCAGGGGAAGGGGGAGGGGAGGGCCCGGGAGGGGATGTGAAGAGGGTGGGGTCGGTTGGTGGCGCAGGGGGAGGGGGAGGCGGAGGGGGAGGGGGAGGGGGAGCAGGAGGGGGAGCGGAAGGGGGTGAGGTGGATGTGGCGGTGCTGAGACTGGCGGAATATCCTGACAAGGCACAGCGTCTTGCTAGGTATGGGCGAAGGGAATGAGGGATAGTGGGCCAAGTGGTGAAAGCAGCGCAAGGCTTTGAACATGCTTTCAATACGGCATGAAAATTGCTGGTCATTCTTTCCTGGCTCCATCGCCGTCGCTTCCCCTCCCTCTTCCCCTCCTGTTTTTTTCTCCCCTTCCTCCTCCCCAATGGCTGTGCATTCCCACCCAGGCTGCTGGACGAGTTGAGGGATCCGCGCATCCATGCACTCCCACGCACGGCGCAGCGCGTGAGAAGCTTCCAGGAAGCGGTGTCGTCGCTGGTGTACGACGTGCTTATTGCCAAGGTGCGATGGTCACTTTCAGGAAGCAGTGCCACCCCCCTTCCCTCCTCTCTTCCAACCGCTCTCCTCTCCTCGCACTCGTCTCCCTCTCCTTCCTCTGCTGGAATTAAGACTAGGAATGGTGTTTGAGACTAGAAACAGTTGGGATACAAATAGGAACCCTAGAAAGTTGTACCCCATGTAAGCTACCCCACTACAGCCTACAAACAACAAGGTCTTTGAGAACTCAACATCCCCCTCCCTCTCCTTCCTCCCCCCTCTCCCTGCTCTCCTCCCTCTCCTTCCTCCTCCCTCTCCCTGCTCTCCTCCCTCTCCTTCCTCCCCCCTCTCCCTGCTCTCCTCCCTCTCCTTCCTCCCCCTCTCCCTCTCCCTCTCTCTCCTCTCCTTCCTCCCCCCCTCTCCCTGCTCTCCTCCCTCTCCTTCCTCCCCCCTCTCCCTGCTCTCCTCCCTCTCCTTCCTCCCCCTCTCCCTGCTCTCCTCCCGCTCCTTCCTCCTCCCTCTCCCTGCTCTCCTCCCGCTCCTTCCTCTCCTCCCTCTCCCTGCTCTCCTCCCTCTCCTTCCTCCTCCCTCTCCCTGCTCTCCTCCCGCTCCTTCCTCCTCCCTCTCCGCTCTCCTGCTCTCCTCCCTCTCCTCCCTCTCCTCCCTCTCCTCCCTCTCCTCCCTCTCCTCCCTCTCCCTGCCCCCTCTCCTCCCTCTCCTCCCTCTCCTCCCTCTCCTCCCTCTCCTCCCTTTCCTCCTTCCTCCCTCTCCTCCCTCTCCTCCCTCTCCTCCCTCTCCTCCCTCTCCTCCCTCTCCTCCCTCTCCTCCCTCTCCTCCCTCTCCTCCCTCTCCTCCCTCTCCTCCCTCTCCTTCCTCTCCTCCCTCTCCTCACCCTCGTTGCCCTCGTCCTTCACCAACTCATCCCCCACGTGTGGGGGATGAGTTGAGCAACAGCAACAGGATGAGTTGAATCGTGTCTTCCTGTTGCTCAACTCATCCCCCACTCTCTTCTCGTTCCTTTCATGCCTCCCATCCCTCACACCCTCCTCAACCTCCCCGCCCTCCTTGCAGGTGCGGCGGCAGCTGGCAGGGGTCTCTTTAATGCCGGACTGGGCATTGGGCGAGGAGGAGAACGTATTTGACCTACCAGCTATCAACGCGTACGCCCTACCCTACATCACGGCCATTGGAGAGTACCTTCTCTCTCTCTCCTCTCTTGCCTCCATCCTGGTGCTTCTCTCTCCCCACCCTGCAGGTGCGGCGGCAGCTGGCAGGGGTATCCACAATGCCGGACTGGGCATTGGGAGAGGAGGAGAACGTGTTTGACCTGCCCTCTTTCAACGCATACGCGCTACCATACATCACGGCCGTGGGAGAGTATCTCCTCACTCTCCCCCAGCAACTCGAGCCTCTCGCCGTTGCTGCCTCCGAAGCTGCCCCGAGCCTGCTCCTGCAAGCTTCGGCAAGCGGTGCTTCGGCAGGCGGGGAATCTGCAACGCCGACCGCAGCAGGGGATGAGGATGCGGGGGCGTATTTTGTCCGGGAGTGGATGACAAAGGTTGCTGACGGGGCGACGTCGCTATTTGTGGAGCAGATTCGGGCAATTCCTGAGGTGTCGGACCGGGGGGCACAGCAGCTTGCAGCAGACATAGAGTATCTGTGCAGTGTACTGTCAGTGCTCTATGTGGCTGCATCGCCTGCTATCGCGACCTTCCAAGCGTGCTTTGCCACGCCCAAGGCCAGTCTAGCGGAGTTTATCGCTCAGGAGAGTGGTGTTGGGGGCTCACTGGATGCCAACACGGCTCGCCTGGTTGCCAAGATGAGGCGGGTTGCGCTAGAGTGATAACAACTGTCAAAACCAGTGTGTCAGTCTTATTTTAAATCGAATGCAAGTTTGAGGCAAGCTTACTATGTTGACCCATTCTCTTAGGATGTAACACTTGCACCATCGTTATTCCAGCCGGCTCATCTTTTCGCCCGCTCCAGCACTTTCTTGAAAGTTCCAGGTCGCAGCCAGATACTCGTCCTTACGTGAAAAACACGCAGCAAGTCATGCGAACAACCTATCCAGCCGAGCTACACCCATCGCTGCTTGTACCCTACCGTTCCGTTCAGCAAAACAACCGAGGCCAAACCTCGAGCTCCGAGCATCGCATGCGAGAACCCCGAAAAATATCTTGGAAGCTCATCAGCCCAGCAGCGTGTACAAATCCCTTGCCTCTTTTGACAGATCTATCAATGTACCTTGCAGCACTGCATTCTTTGCTCTCCGCGCTGCCCCCAGGACAAGCAACGTACCTTGCATCCTTCTCGCTGCACCGCTTGCTTTTTCCACCGCGACTTGCATCGCGTGCTATCGTGTGCCATCCTCCGTCATGGCGGCCACAGCTTCGCGGGGTTCGTCCCCTTTCTCTCGCTTCGGCGACTCGCAGTCCTTCAACTTCGATGCGCTGAAAAACTTCTCCGTGCTCACCCCCTCGATACAGTCACATCTGCAGAAGGTCTACCTGACGCTCTCGCTGACGCTGGTCGTCGCGTCGCTAGGCGCGTACGCGCACGTGCTGTGGGGGCTCGGCGGCGCGCTCTCGTCGATAGCGTCCATCGCGGGCGTGCTTTGGCTCAACGCCACGCCCGCCGTACCCGCTAACGAGGTGCGCGTTATAACGTTTTCAGCTATTCTCCTTCCCAGCGCGTTTTCAAAACACCTGAGCTCCACAATACAAACCCAGCGACGAAGCTGATTCAAGTTTTAGCAGACTACGCCGTTCAGTAGTTTAACCACATATTCTATCGTCCCTCCCTTTTTTCAATCCCCTCTCTCGTTCGTTTTTTTACTCTCCCTCTCTTTTTTTTTCCGTCGCTCCCTTTTTCTCCGCACTCCCTTCCCGCGCCTTCGCACGCTTGCCCTCGAATCATTCGCCAGTCGTTTCGCTTTCGCCTGCTTCTCGCCATCGCCTTCTCGCACGGCTGCTCGATCGGCCCGCTCGTCGATGCTGTTATTCAAGTCAACCCTGGGTAGGTCAAACGCAGGTTACCCCGGGTAGGTCAAACGCAGGTTACGCTGGGTAGGTCAAACGCCAGGTAGGTCAAACGCCCGGTAGGTCAAACGCCGGGTAGGTCAACCGCAGGTAGGGTCGACGCATTTTCAGCGTGGGTACAGGTGAACCCCAGGTAGGCCAACCCATTCATCTTCTTAAGCGCTTCTTGGCTCTCCCACCCCTAGCCTCTCTCCTGCGCCCACACCCCCTCCCTGGTGGCTTCCTCTCCCTCTACCCAGACACTCAGCTCCGCCTCTAACCTCACTCCCCCCTTCCTCCCCCTTTCTCCCCTTCCTCCCCTTCCTCCCCTTCCTCCCCTTCCTCCCCTTCCTCCCCTTCCTCCCCTTCCTCCCCTTCCTCCCCTTCCTCCCCTTCCTCCCCTTCCTCCCCTTCCTCCCCTTCCTCCCCTTCCTCCCCTTCCTCCCCTTCCTCCCCTTCCTCCCCTTCCTCCCCTTCCTCCCCTTCCTCCCCTTCCTCCCCTTCCTCCCCTTCCTCCCCTTCCTCTTCCTATCCCTACCCCCCTTCCCAGTCTGCTAGTGGCAGCATTCGCGGCCACGACCACCATCTTCCTGTGCTTCTGAGGGGCGGCGCTGCTCGCTTGGCGCAGGGAGTATCTGCACCTGGGGGGCTTCCTCTCCCTCTACCCGAGCCGAGCACCTCAGTTCTGCCTACCTCTAACCTCTCTTCCCCTCCCCCGCCCCCCTCCACCAACCTGTCTGCTAGTCACAGCATTTGTCACAACAGCGGCCATCTTCCTGTGCTTCTCAGGAGCAGCGCTGCTCGCCAGGAGTCGCAGGTACCTCTACCTGGGGGCCTTCTCTTCCTCTACCCGAGCACCTCAGTTCTGCCCACTTCTAACCTCTCTTCTCCTCCCCCGCCCCTCTCCCCAACTCCCCCCCCCCCCAGTCTGCTAGTCACAGCGTTTGTCGCAACAGCAGCCATCTTCCTGTGCTTCTCAGGAGCAGCGCTGCTGGCACGGCGTCGCGAGTACCTGTACCTGGGGGGCTTCCTCGCCTCTGCCGTCTCCACCATGCTCGCCCTGCGCCTCGCTTCCATCTTCTTTGGCGGCTCTGACGCTGTTTTCCAGATCGAGGTACGTGTGTGAGGTGTGTGAGTGAGGGAGGAGCGTCGGTGCTGGCACGCCGTCGAGAGTACCTGTACCTGGGGGCCTTCCTCGCCTCTGCTGTCTCCACCATGCTCGCTCTCCGCCTCGCTTCCATCTTTGGCGGCTCCAATGCTGTCTTCCAGATTGAGGTGCGTGCGTGTGTGTGTGCACTCTGCAGTATTCACTGATGTACGAATCTAACCATGTTGTAGCTGCTTCATGTGTGCATCATCGCGCACGTTTTCTCAAACCCCTCTCAACCCCTTTCACACCCTCCTCTCCCAATCTGCCTCCTTCACCCTTCCAGCTCTATGGAGGCCTGCTGGTATTCGCGGGCTACATCATCTATGACACACAGGTGCTGCTGGAGAACGCGAGTGCAGCTGTTCAGTCGTTCCACACCATCTCACTCCCCCTCTCATCCCTTCTACCTGTCTGCCCCTCTGCCAGCTTTACGGGGGTCTCCTGGTCTTCTCGGGGTATATCATCTACGACACGCAGGTGCTGCTGGAGAGGGCGAGGCAGGGCCACTGCGACCACGTGGTGGATGCTCTCGAGCTGCTGCTGGACTTTGTTGCTGTCTTCGTGCGCATCCTCTTCATCCTGGTGAGTCTGTAACCGCTTGTGGTAACCACGTCACATGGTCAGTGCCTGGATGCGGTACACCACATTCCATCCCACCCTGCCGCTGCGACCACGTGGTGGATGCTCTCGAGCTGCTGCTGGACTTCGTCGCTGTCTTCGTGCGCATCCTCTTCATCCTGGTATGCTTGCAACAACCTGTGGTCGCCATCCCGCACTGCCACTGCGACGACCTGCTGCACGCCCTGGAGTTGCTGCCTGAATGCAATCACAGTGCGTCGTGCCGAAGCACACCTACTCGCTCTCTCACACCACTCTCATCACATCAACTATAACCTTTCATGCTGTGCCGTGCCGTACTGTCTTGTGCTGTGCTGTGACATGCCATGACGTGCCGTGCCATGGGTTTTGCCATGTGCTGCTGCACGTGCCGGGCAGACAAGGAAGGAGGAGAGGGAGGAGGAGCAGCGGGGATCATCCAAGCGCAGAACTGCTGCCAGCACCTCTCGCCGTTAGACACTTGACGGTAGACAGTTTTGTCCTTAAAGCCAATGGCACTTACGTTGGGAGTGTTCCCACCAATGCCAAGCCTGCTGTTGGCCGTGTAAGAAGTTTCTTGTGCAGACACTTAAGAGAATTCTCAAAAGTAGCTGCTGGTAGCTGTGTAGAACCGTAAGTTTCTTGTGCACACGTGCAGCAGTATCCCTTGTATCCATCTGCTAAATTCCTGTAGCCTCAATCACGCTTATGTTCACTTCATTGTATATTAGACCTGGGAACTACTGGAAGTGTGCTAATCATCGATGGCAGGCATGAACTGCTGCTGATTACATAAGCTGCACGAGTCCCATACAGGCTCCAGTCGCAACAAACCCACATCCTAATAACGAGCCATCGACCATTGCTGATTATCAAGGCATGTTCGGTCCACCCACCCCGTGTGTTCCAGGCACATCAGTGCATCGCGCCCTGATCGCGCCGCATTGATCAAACAGAAGCCATGTCCTCCTGATCTGCTGCCAGAGCTCGCAACAATCGACCGCAAGCAGCGTAGCTTCTCCCCGAGCGACAGGCTGTGCGACACTCTCGTCCGTGTCGCGTCGACCTAGAGCGACAACCGTCGCACGTCGTCGCAGCTTTTCATCCGCGATTCCGCCGCTCCCTGGATCGACGCACAAGTCACCGCATTTCCGTTGCTCCCTGCCCGTGTTCCCCCTGCCCGTGTTCCCCCTGCCCGTGTTCCCCCTGCCCATGTCCCCCCCATACCCAATCGAATGCTCCTCGCGTATTCTCTCCGCCTTCCCTTCCGCCTTCCGCGCCTCCCACCGAGCGCTCCCCCTTCCCCTCCCCCGCTCGCTCCACATTCCCCTCCGCCGCTCCATCTCCTGATGCGCTCTCCGCACTGCCCTTCCCTCCGCTGTTTACACTCGCCTTACTCTTTAAGTGGACTTAATAATCGGCCTGAGCGAGTGGCCTCTCTCAGGCAATTCCGCCTTCCTGTCGCCCTCGCGTGCCTCTTCCGGCCGTCTCTCGCAGTTGGGGCTTTAAACGGCGTGACGGCTGTTGGGACGTCGCATGGTGTGACTGTAACGGATGTCGGCGCACTGCAGCGGAGCATGCGGATGAAGATTCATGTGCCTGCTGGGATAAAGGCGGGTGTGACTGTAGTGAGTGTGAGAGGAAATGCGAGAGGAGGGATTGTAAGAGAAGGGAGAGGGAAGAAAGGGACTGTGAAAGAAGGGAAAGTGAGAGAAGGAAGTGTGAGAGCGTGGAGAGTGGCAGAGAAAAGGGTGATAGCAAAGAGGGAGACTGTAGGGAGAGTGGCAGTAGCAAAAAAAAACTCAGAAGGAGAAGTAGAAGTGGCAGAAGCAGAGGAATCAGAAGCAGCAGCAGGGGCAGCGGCGGCAGCAGCGCGACCAAGACAACGGCGACGAGGGAAGCCAGAACACGACAAGGGAAACGACCCGGGGAAACCAGAGCAAGCTGCCGAGGGTGCTTATAACGAGGACGGCCCGCTGCCAGTGGTGATTCTGCTGGACTTTGAAACGACCGGGCAGGGCACCACGCAGAACCGCATAGTGGAGCTGGCTCTGAGGGATGTGGCGGGTGGATGGGGTGCAGCGCTGCACACGCTGGTGAACCCGTACCCACGGGTCATTTCTGCCGAGGCGGAGAGGGTGCATGGGATCAGCATGCGCATGGTCAACCGCCCCTCCGTGCCCCAGTGAGTGTCCCTGTAAGTGCCCTCTCAGTGAGTGGGGAGCTCTTTTTCTCGCCGAATAGTGGAGCTGGCTCTCAGGGACGTGGCGGGGGGGCGGGGTGCAGCGCTGCACACGCTGGTGAATCCGTTCCCGCGGCTTATCTCTCATGATGCGGAGAGGGTGCATGGGATTAGCATGCGCATGGTCAACCGCCCCTCCGTGCCCCGGTGAGTGGTGACCAACCTCTCTGACTTGTCGTTTGAGTGCGTGCTCAGAGGGACTGGGCAGGGCAGGGCACCACGCAGAACCGCATAGTGGAGCTGGCTCTGAGGGATGTGGCGGGTGGATGGGGTGCAGCGCTGCACACGCTGGTGAACCCGTACCCACGGGTCATTTCTGCCGATACGGAGAGGGTGCATGGGATCAGCATGCGCATGGTCAACCGCCTTCCAACCGCCTGCCCCTGCATTACCCTTACTTGCTCTCACTCATCATCCACCTGTGCATCTTCTCAGAGGCGCCTCGAAAGACCTTAGGAGGCGTCTTAAACGACCTCTACTCTCAATCATTCATTTGTACATTCTCTCTGCCTCCCCCATGTCCCTCGCTCCTGTTTTTCTTTCTCCCTTTGTCACATGATTTGAATCTGCTTAGCTGGCGAGACGCCGGGCGGCTGCTGGTGGACTTTGTGGAGGCCAGGCGGGCGGCGCAGGCAGGCCGGGCGGCACGGGCGGAACAGGCAGCAGTCTCAATGCACAGCTCTGCTACCACTGGCGTCTACGTCAACACCGAGACGGGGGCAGGGATGCGCATGGGGATGATGAATGCAGAGATGACCGCCGCCTCTTCTGCCGCCACCTCCCTACTGCTCCCCCCGGTGGTGCTGGTGGCACACAATGGGTGGTCGTTTGACTTCCCTCTGCTGCGCAACGAGCTGCAGCGAGTTGGGATTGCTGTGCCTCCAGGTTGGCACTCCCTCGATTCCATGCGCCTCGTGCAGAGACTCTTCAAAGGTATGCTGTGGCTCTTTGAAGGTGCGCTGCTGATCTCTGCTGCCCCCGGTGGTGCTGGTGGCGCACAATGGGTGGTCGTTTGACTTCCCTCTGCTGCGCAATGAGCTGCAACGAGAGGGGATTGTTGTGCCGCCCGGCTGGCACTCCCTTGATTCCATGCACCTCGTTCGAAGACTATTCAAAGGTGCGCTTTAAGGTGTGTTTTGAGCTGTAGCGCGCTAACATCCCAGTGCCGCACGGCTGTCACTCCCTCGATTACATGCGCCTTGTGCAGAGGCTCTTCAAAGGTGCGCTGCTTCCTTGTTGCATATCTCACCTACTTCTCTTCGGAGAGACTCGCACCGCAAGCCAGCGAGCAAGGGGCTGAAATTCCTTTCCTCAACACGCCTTCGCTGCTCCAAGCCCCTTATTCACGCCTCTTCTTCACCCCTTCCTTTGCACGCTTCCCCCACTCCCGCCCATCTGTTACGCACCCTCTCCCTTCTCCCTGACAGACACCGATCGCAAGCCAGCAAGCAAGGCGTTGGGATTTCTCTTCTCAACGCACTTCCGCTGCTCCACGCCCTTTGCCCGCCCGGACCTGGCCCACCGAGCCATGGCTGATGTGGACAAACTGGCCGAGGTGCTGGCTGCTGCGATGCGGGAGAAGGGAGTTACTGTACCACAATTGCTACAGTACACAAAACCATTCTTATAATATTATGTTCAATTACTTAACAACAATCATTACCGTACAGAAGGGATGGCAGGATGTGGACAAACTGGCCGAGGTGCTGGCTGCTGCGATGTGGCAACGAGGGGTTACTGTACGACAATTGTTACAGTACACTAAACCATTCTTATACCGTATAGCCCCGGATATAAGCGCATATGCGCTTATAATATAATCATTTTTTTAGGGGTGGCGCTTGTAATTGAGTAACGGCCATAAGCGCCGGCGCTTATATAATGACAATACAGAATTATATATTTAGAGCACCAAATTGTTTCATTTTCTTTTTGCTATTTCAACCGAGTCGAATTTTTTTAGCGTCACAAAGCAGAATCGCGCGCGAGCGATATTCTGCCAGCACACAGAGGAAAACACACGTCATGCCAGCACATCCTGACTGGACGCGCAACCAGTCAGGTCTTCGAGAGTCAAACGAAGCGAAATTGAAATCGACTCGCTGCAAAAATGAATCTCGTTAATGTTCTAAGTAATATTTTTAATTTATACTACACATGCGCTTATAATAAGTAAAGCATTTTTAGGGGGGGCGCTTATAATCGAGGAACGGCCATAAGCGCCATGCTCCAGATAGAAGCGCCGGCGCTTGTAATAGGCCGGCGCCTATATCCGGGGCCATACGGTACGTAATACCGGTAATGTGTTCAGTAAAATATAAAGCAAGACCCGCAGAAGCAATGGCAGATGGGAACGAACTGGCCAGAGAGTGCTGCTGCCATGATGTGGTAAAGAGGGGTTGCTGTCGCACAACAGATGCCGTATATTGAACCAAACCAACATCACCATAGTATAACCATTAAGCCGAATATTTGTTAGAGAGGAATGCAGGTGCCTCTCCTCTGAATCCTTGCAGGCAAAGGTTTGACAAACACAATGTTAGTCTCCTGAAATACATCACTTCCACCAGCTGTGAACCAGATTCTGATAACCTTGTGGTGGAAAAGGAACTTCCCAAAACATTAAATGTCACCACCTTCCCTTCTTGCATCAATTCCTCTGCAAACCCTTCCTGCAACACATTGTCAGAGCCGCTCAGCTCTCAACTAAGTTACGGTAGCAGCCGCCCTGTCTTCGCCCTTAAAAAACGTCTCACAAATTTCGCTAGTCCTCACCCGTCTGACAGTTATAAGATCGATGGTAATGTCACACAGGCAACCTTGCTGACTCCTCTACTCTTGACACCAGCAGTTAGAGACATTAACCATGAACCTCGCTGAACACACGTTACACTGTCCCTTGGCAGAATGTTCGATTTTGTCAGACTTCAGCAGCACGAAGTGGCGGCGGCACGCAGGACCCGACACAGCGATGGCGGCATGCGTTGGTGCTGTTGCTGCGAGCGCCAACACGGCAGCGGCGCGCTGCTGCTGGTACTATGCGCGCGCACTAACGCAGCAGCGCGCCGCTGCTGCTGCTATGCATGCGGCTAACGCAACAGCGGGCCGCGACTGCTGTCGAATGAGCTACGAAGTAGCTACGGTGCGGTGTTGCTGCGGCTGGGCGCACTAAAGAGCAGAGGCGCTCTGTTGTTGCTGCTGCTCGCGCTTATAAGGCACCAGCGCTTTGCAGCTTAGAGGGGGTAGAGGGGAAGGGAGGTCAGAAAGTGCAGGGGACTGACTGAGGGTGTGATGCATAGCAGGGGGCAGAAAGCAGGGCGGAGAGGGCAGATGGGAGAGGGGGTAGGGGAGATGGGGGAGTGCGGAGAGATAAAAGAGAACGCAGCATGACGATACAGCAGGGAGAGGGAGCGTCAAGTTGAGGTAGCACGAAGGGGAGGGAGGGCAGGGCAGAGACCTCTAGTCCAGTCGGCTTGGAGCAGGAGAGGTTGAGAACGGCTCGCTGAGCTTCAGCAGCAGCGAGCCCATGTTCGCCCTGAGCAGCAGCCATGGCTCGCCATGTTCGCCCTGTCAATCTGGGGGTTTGGGTGCGGGGGAGGGAGGAGAATGAAGCGCCTTTATTACTGTTTGTCTTGAGGTGAAACAAACAACAAAAAAGAAAGAAGCAGCAGCGACCCGAGGTTCAGAAACATGCCATTACTCGTCATGTTCGCAATTTCAAGTTGAGGGTGCAAGAAAGAAGAGAGGGATGAGGGAGGGAGGTTGAGAAGGCGGGCGTGGGAAGGAAGGGGAGGCAGAGGCCAAAGGCGAGTTTGCACAGACAGTTTCAGTTCCAACCTCCCACCCCACCCCACCCCACCCCACCCAACCCTCCCCCCATCCCCCTGTCCCTCCCAGGCAGCCATTGCGGGTGTGACCAGCAGGGCAGCGCGGTTGGCGTTGGTGCGGATGGGTGCAGCTAGGTACTCGTGCAGGTACCTTGTCGCGCGTGAGCGGGGCCTTGAGCACCACGCGCAGCACCACGCGCAGCACCACGCACAGCACCACGCGCAGCACCACGCGCAGTCCCACCAGCAGCTGCCGCGACGTGATACCGCCACGAAGGACGAGCTCAGCACCAACAGCTCCGACGGCTTTGAGAAGGCGCACGGGGTGAAGGACTGCTGGCTGTCCACAGCGCGCACGGGGGGAAGGAGCGGGGGAGAGGAGAGGAGGAGGGACGGGAGGAAGTTGGGGGGAAGAACGGGAGGGATTGGGAGAACGACCATCATGCATGTCACACATGCAGAACCTGTGTGTCACACATGCAGTCCATGCATGTTACACATGCGGACCCCATGCAGTAGTCATTGAGAGTCTCTCATGTCGGCGTGCTGACATGCTGAACCACGCCATGAAAGAAGACATTAACCATGAACCATGCTGCACATACGTTAGATATCATACCAGATGAACCATGCTAAGAAAAGACCAGATTCGATTTGAAAAGAGGAGTAAACGACGCACCGCCCATCGTTCGATTTAAATTTCCCGCCAAGACCTGACGTCGTAAGCCAAGAGTAGTAAACGACGCATCGCGCGTTCCCAGCTGGAAAATGCCGCAGAAAGCGTTAAGACTCAACATAAAATTACTGCTTTGCGATCATAGGCTTAAACGTAAGCTTCATGAACTCATCGTATGCTCCTAGGCAGAAAAGCAAGATTTATAATCGCCGTTCCTAGCAAGACATAGATCGTCAAGGAATTTCAGTAGTGCTTTGCGTTAGCTCGATCGCGCTTTGATCTGAGCCTAGTACTACGTGCGCTGAGAAGTTGGTATTCCGGAGGTAATCAAGGTCAATCCAACTCGAAGGTAAAACTGCTTTATAAAACATTCTACTTGTTCAAGAAAGGCGATCTCCACTTGAAACCCCAACCAGCTACAGATTCAGCTCCAACCAGCGAAAGCCGGATATTCTGCTTGCTGGTGCTCCACTTGGTCTTGAGTTTTGAGTCTTGAGTCTTGACCCCTCTTGGCCGCTAGAGGCAAAGCCTCTAGCGTTACACCCGGGCACCGCGTTGAGGTGGGGGTTATCGCTCCGGACACCTGTTTGGGAGGGGGGGGGGGGTGGGGTGGGCGGAGGAGAGGAAGAAAAGAAAGAAAATATTTTGGGGGGAAAATTATGAAATGTACTGCTACGGATGTCAGATGTCAGGCGGGAATCCTCGAGTCGCGCTGATGTCAGATGACCTGCAGCTTACCTGGAAAACATTACAGTATCAAGCTCATCTCACAGCTCACTCACCCACCCCATCCGACCCAACCCATCGGGCCCACCGCGTCGGACCCATCGAACCCACCCAACCGCGGCATACCGTACCGGGCTTTTCGAGCCTATCGAATCTGTTCCGTCGTCAGTCGGTTCTACGCGAGTCTGTCTGTAACGAGTCTGTCTACTCTAACGTCGCTGGCGAGTTGGTGGAGCCGACCCCCGTGCTCGTTGTCTATCAACCTGACACGGGAAACTGCAACAAGAGAGGAGAGAAAAATGCGTGAAGTGATGACGTCCGCGACTCCGCGAAATAAGCGTTGATGGCGTCCGCGACACAGGCAACACACGCGATGGAGTCCGCGACCTCACACCTGCATCTTGGAAAAACGAGAGATAGTTAGTTTGGAATAAAAAAGGCGAAAGCAGTCATACGAACGAAGCTGACAGAAACAAGCAGAAAGAGAAAAGCACGTAAAAGCGTGGGATGAAGAGTGACTTACAAACCACCTTGAGCTCCAAGATCCAAGTCTGAAAGGGACAGAGGAAGAAGAGGAGAAAGGAGGGGAAAGGTGATGGCGTCCGCGTTCCTGCCGAACCTGCAACTTGGAAGAAGCGGCGATAGTTAGTATAGCATAAAAATAAATAAGAAAGAAAAACAGAAAACAAGCGACAAACAAGTAAATGCGTAGCAGGAAAGATAAACTTACACGCTCCAAGCTCCAAGATCCAAATCTGAAAGGGACAAAGGAAGTAGAGAGGAGAAAGGAGGGGAAAGGTGATGGCGTCTGCGTCCTGCCGAACCTGCAACTTGGAGGAAGCGGCAATAGTTAGTTTAGCATAGAAATAAATAAGAAAGAAAAACAGAAAACAAGCGACAAACAAGTAAATGCGTAGCAGGAAAGATAAGCTTACAAGCTCCAAGCTGCAAGATCCAAATCTGAAAGGGACAAAGGAAGTAGAGAGGAGAAAGGAGGGGAAAGGTGATGGCGTCTGCGTCCTGCCAAACCTGCAACTTGGAGGAAGCGGCGATAGTTAGTATAGAATAAAAATAATTAAAAAGAAAAACGGAAAACAAGCGAAAAACAAGTAAATGCGTAGCAGGAAAGATAAACTTACAAGCTCCAAGCTCCAAGATCCAAATCTGTAAGGGACAAAGGAAGTAGAGAGGAGAAAGGAGGGGAAAGGTGATGGCGTCCGCGTCCTGCCGAACCTGCAACTTCGAGGAAGCGGCGATAGTTAGTATAGAATAATAATAATTAAAAAGAAAAACGGAAAACAAGCGAAAAACAAGTAAATGCGTAGCAGGAAAGATTAACTTACAAGCTCCAAGCTCCAAGATCCAAATCTGAAAGGGACAAAGGAACTAGAGAGGAGAAAGGAGGGGAAAGGTGATGGCGTCCGCGTCCTGCCGAACCTGCAACTTCGAGGAAGCGGCGATAGTTAGTATAGAATAAAAAAAAACATATAACAAAAACAAAAACAAAAACGAAAAAAAAAAAAAAGCGAAAGAGCAGTAAAAGTGTAGAAGGAAAGATAAACTTACAAGCTCCAAGCTCCAAGATCCAAGTCTGAAAGGGACAGAGGAAGAAGAGAGGAGAAAGGAGGGGAAAGGTGATGGCGTCCGCGTTCCTGCCGAGCCTGCAACTTGGAGGAAGCGACGATAGTTAGTATAGAATATTTAATCTAAAAAAATCCCGAATTATAAGCGGAAAACAAGAGAGCCTTACCCTCGTCCTTACCACTTTCCGATCTGAAGTGTCCATGTCGACCACTGTATCGAGCCTACCGTCGCGCACCGTTTACTAACGAGTCTGTCGAGGCACTGTCGCGCACTGTTCGAGTCTACTGTGCCGTCGCGGTCGACTGTTCTAACGATCCGTCGCGTCGCGGTCGACTGTTCTAACGATCCGTCGCGGTTTGCTGCACTAACGAGTCTTCCAGTCGCGGGCCTGCAAAATCCAGCAGGAATAGGCACGGAACAAAGAATGACAAGAAAAATGCACAAAAAAAGAACCGAATGCACGACGGATACTTACATTGCAAGGTTACCGTCATTTCGTGCAGCTTCTCTGGTCGTCGAAGGTCGTAGAAGGTCGTCGTCGAAGGTTGAAAAGAATCACCGTTACCCAACCACCCCACCCACAACGCGACTCTGCGACGCTGCGACGCTTGCGACGCTGCGACTCGGCGACACTTACGACGATGCCATGCTGGATGCCGTTGGCTGACTCCAGGTTGTCTTTGTGGAAGCAGAAAAAAGCATCCCCTCGAGTTCTTGCCTCGTGAAGTTAGTTGAAGCAAATGCTTACCTTCTGAACATTGTCAGGAACATTGTTAGTGAGTGTGAAGGAGCTTACCATTCAGAAGCTGCTGAATGAACCGATGGGATGGGCGTAAGTCGTGAAGGTGAGTTCAGTTCCTTGGTGGTGCTGAGCCGAGGGACCAGAAGCCAGGGTGCCGCCTTCGGGAATCCCTTGGTTGGAATCTTGAAGTGGTGGGGATTGAAAATCAAGGGTATAGGTAGCGCCGCAAGCAGTGGATGGTTCAGATCGCCAGCCGATGTATGGCGGCCAGATTTGGCAAAAGTTTGCGCCAAGAGTGATGGCAGGTAGTCAGAGGGAACATTGGGTTGACTGGGTCAGACCGTTGGTTCAACGCGGGGAAATTGGCAGGCTGACATCCCCCATTGTAGCTGCTTTGATTTCAAAATTGTACAGTTCAAATCGTTTGTGCAACTGTTCTTCTGTCTTTGAATGACTCTGTTGTTGTGGTGCACAGGAAACAAGTCCTGTTGTGGTTCGCAAATGTGGGAACATGGGAAGGTGGCGATCGTTTCTAGGAGATTTGTTGACGTGGCACTATGTTTAGTAGGGACGGAAAAATTTGCGTGACGCGCGGGACGGCATTGATTGGATGTTGGATGAGTTTAGGTAAAAGTCGTGTTGTCGCAACAAATTTTGGTGTGTGCGAAGAAAGGTGTGTGGTCAGCTGAGTGGAAAATCGTAGGAGCGAGTCGAAATGCTTCGTTGGAGCGAGGGAAACGAAACAGATTGAAAGTCGTCGCCCCACGTCGCCAAATGTCGCAATGGATAAGGTCAGGCGATTCAAGGGAAGCAATGGAGCGCTGCTGCACACAACCCGCACACTCTTGCGCTTCAGATCTTAGATCTAAGTTTTGGCATTTAAAATTTTCATTGGCTTACCTTAGAACCGTAGGGACTAGTATCACGCATCGTACCTTAGTGTTGTATCGCTTCTGAATTCTAGTACTTCATTCACAAACGTGTCATCTGACAATCCTTACGTTATTCAGATCGGAGTACCATGGCGAACAGTGGTAGTATGTTCGCGAATGCTCCCTGTATATTCCGGCATTGGCAGTTTGTAGGTTGAAAGTGCGTTTTCCTAAAGACGCAGATTTGGGTTCCGAATATAATCTTTTCGTCGAAAGAAAAATCGATTTCGTACCAAGAACTTCCCATCGATTTTCCGGCAATCCCTAAGGCGCGTTGTTGAGAGGATAGCGGGAGCTGAATGCGCTGATATGAAAGGGGGGAGCGGAAAGCGGGAGCTGAATGCGCTGAGCTGAGAGCGGGGCGCGGAAAGCGGGGGCTGGTTGCGCTGAGCTGAAAGCGGGGAATAATCATAAGCGGACGCTGGTGACTCGCGCCGGTTACTCGAGCTGGTACGTCGCGCGTGTAAATCGCGCTGGTAATTCGCGCTGGTAACTCGCGCTGGTTTCTCGCGCTGGTGACTTGCGCGGATTACTCATGCTGGTAACTCGCGCTGGTTTCGGGTTCGCTGGTTAGTCGCGCTGATATCGTGAAGTGTATCTTGTGACTTGTGAAATACATCGGCTGAGGGCGAAGGTTATCAGGCTCCGTTTCTCCCTGCCCTCCCCTTTCCATCTCCCCCTTCCCTCCTTTCCTTCTCTCCCCTTCCCCTGCTCAACTTTTGGGGGAGCTTTCAGCAGCATCTTTTCCCTCCCCTTCCTACCCTCCTCCCTCCCCTCCTCCCTCCCCCCTTCCCTCCCCCCCTCCCTCCTCCCTCCTCCCCCCCCCTTTCTCCCTTCTTCGCCTTCGCGGACACTGTCCCTTACGCGATTGCAGGGTGCTTCAGCACCCCCCATCTTTCAGAGTTTCACCGCCTCCCCCCTCCCTCCCCCCTTTCAGCAGCATCTTTTAGAGTTTTCCCGCCTTCCCCCTCCCTCACTCCTTTCAACAGCATCTCCCAACCACGCTGGGGAGAGTGTGTGTGGTTCCGCCTTGTATTCCCTCACTCCCGCCATTTCCCCCCTCCAGCCCCCTCTCTCTCCCCGCCCCCCCTTCCTGCTGCTCCTTGATCCCTCTAACCACCTCACACTCCCCATTCCCTCTTTGCTCACAGCGTTTCCCCCTATTTCCTCTATGCTGCTACTGGCACAAGTGCGCAGCAGTGGTTAAAGCTGGAATGCAACGAGCAAATTCGCTTCGTATCTGAAGGCTCTAGATGCATGTCATGGATGCCCTCCCTGCATGTCACAGATGCAGAATTGATTTCTATCATAAGCCAGGTGGTTGAACACCAAGAATCTGCTTGCAGATGTGGCGGACACACCAGCAACGGGCATTGCTGCAAGGACGTGAGGCAGAGGGGTTACCGTACCTATCAGTTCTTGTTACACAGATGAGAAGCTGGTATATCTACTATTGGGTGAAGTATTGGTACCCGATCAGAGCACGTCAGTTAGTTCTGACCTCTAATTAGAACTTGATTAGCAATAGCACAATCAGAAGCTGCTAATACGGTACAGCACTATTATTATCCTACACTAGCTATACTGCCGCTACCACCACTGCTCAATGTCATGCCATGCTACCAGTATCTATGCCAGAACCATATCCATTACCCTGTAATTTCCGTAAAAGTGGTGTAGCCTCATTTAATCTTCCTGTAGTTCCGCTTTCATCAACAGCCCCTGCTGCTGTTGCCCCTGGTGCTGTCACCCCTGTCGCTCCAACCCCTGCTCCTGCAACCCCATCAATTGTTGCTCCACAACCCTCCTCCTCGTCCTTACCCTCACCTTCCCTCGCCCTCCTCTCCCTCTCCACAGCCCAGCTATACAGCACCATCCCTGCCACAGCCAGGAGCATCCCTAGGAGCGACTTAGGAGTAAGAGGGTCTTTAAAGACCACCCAGCCTAGTAGGAGTATGGCAATGGTCTTCATGTGGCCTAGAACCTGGAAGGAAACCGCGGAGAACTTTCCTATGCAGAGATAGACGCTGACGGTGGTGAGGAGCGCGAGGATGCAGGAGAGGAGAATCCACGCCTGGGGGGTGGTAGGGGGGGAAGGGGGAGCAAGGACTTTTGAGGCGCCTCAAAATTGACATTAATGGTAGACGCTGATGGTAGTGGGGAGGGCGAGGATGCAGGAAAGGAGAATCCACGCCTGGTGGCGTGGTGGTGTGCAGGGGGAATGGGGGGGATGACGGGGAAAGGTGAGGAAGCATGGCGGGAAGTTTAGTCAAACCTTAGTGGGTGATCGACAGTGATGGGTCGGGAAGCTTGGTGTGAAAACTGAATCTGGATGGAATCTGAAACAGTGCTTGCTGCAACTGCAGAATCAACTTCGAGTCCACACAAAACGCGGCACCTACAGTGGCACTGGCAGTCAGGGTGTAGTGAATGACGCTGTGGCCTGTGAGGAGGAAGTCCACAGCGGGTCCCAGCAGCAGCAAAGACGCTGCTTGCAGGGGGGCGGTCTGAATGAGGAGGTCAAAGGAGCCCAGCGCGTAACGCTGCTGCAACTCGCCCACCGACTGCATGATGGAATGGGACAGGAGGGAGGGAAGTGAAAAGGCATAGTCAATACGGAGAAAGGTCTGAAGTCACACTGCTTGCAGGGGGGCGGTCTGAATGAGCAGGTCGAAGGGGCCGAGGGCATAGCACTGCTGTAGCTCGCCCACTGACTGCATGCATGGGGACGGAGACGGAGCACAAGGCAGCAACGAAGCTGCAAATCAGACATGCGACAGTTGTCTTGCAGTACAAGTGAGCATTCTGTGAGCGCTGAGAGAGCGGATACCCTGGGCTGCTGCAACAAAACACACCCCTTTCTTTTCGTACAAGCCCTCTTATTTCTGCTCTGTAAAATCTTATTATATCTCCCACCCTCGGTACACTCACAATCTCCTGCAGGGATGTCGAGACAGCGCCGGGAGCAGCAGTGAGAAGCCCAAAGGCGCTGACAGAGATCTCAGAGATCGTGCACACACCCACTCTTAACAGGACGGGACTAGAGACAGCACCACCAGCCTTTACACTCACAATCTGCTGCAGCGACGTGGAGACAGCGCCAGCAGCAGCAGTGACGAGTCCAAAGGCGCTGACAGAGATGTCAGTGACCGTGCACACACCCACGCCCACCAGCACCACCAGCACTGCTGCTAGCGTGGGGGGCGAGTAGGTCTTTCCGTGAAGCAGGGACTCGAACATACATGTCAGGGGAATGATCGCCAGACGGCTGATCTGATGGCCAGTGGAGGGGAGGTATGGGCGGGTGAAGTGAAGGGAACAGCTTCTGAGAGAACAGTTTCGAGTATGTGTATGCCTGTGAATCAAGAATGGCCCGGGCAATCAGCAACGAAGCAATCATTGGGCACTGCCATTGGTTGAGTCTGTCTGGCTGCACAGATAGAGTGTGCCTAAGCGCTCACCTGGTAAAAGCCGACGGAGTTGGCAAGGAGGGCGAAGTTGGTGGTGACGACACACACGTTGGACAGCAGCGTGAAACGACCCACCTCCCACGCAGGCAGCGTGGGGACAGGCGCGGGGGAAGGCGCGGCGGAGGGGAGGAGCAGAGTGGCGGAGGGGGAGACAGGAGTGGGGGAGGACGGGGAGGGGGAAGGGGAGGGGAGGAAGCGCGCGAGGCAGAGGCAGAGCAACCCGGCTAGAGTGGCGAAGGAGAGGTGTAGGCCGCTCAGCGTGGTGGCTGGGGGCCGGGGGGGAGAAAAAGGGGAAAAGGGGAAAACGGGGTTGAAAAAAGAGAGGGGGGGGGGGGGGGCTTGGGTGGTGGGGGGGAGGAGGGGGGAAGAGGGGTCTACGAGGGAGGCGGGGCGGAAAGAGGACTTGAACGGACGGGCATGATTGGCTGAGCAATCAAGAGCGGTGATGCTACTGACCGTAGACGAAGGCGTATCCCGTCATGACTTGCTTGTTGACGAGGATGATGGCCACTGAGCTGACCACGTTCAACGTCCACGCCGTCGCCGACGACACGCGCGACGGATGGTTCAACATGATGGCGAATTCCAAAACGCGAATCTAAACTCTGAAGCCTAAGCCGTCGCCGACGAAACGCGCGACGGATGGTTCAACATGATGGGCGAGGTATGCTGGATGAATTTCGGCGAGATCCGATCGGATGTCTATGACGAGATCGGACCGAGTCGCATTCGCATATTCACAAAATAAAAACGAGCAGCGCCGAATCTACGTGCGTTGAATGCTATCCCGGACCGCGTCATATGGATCTTGCAGTTGAAGCTGCAGCGACGGCGAGCAGGTATGTCGCCTGAGAGATTCACACCTGATGGATCCTCCCGAAGAGGGGATCCGTGAGAATCTGTCCTCGTTTTGGGGAATCCAAGTTCCGTTTGCGTGCTGTTTGTCATGGCCGTCCTAACCAATTTCCCAGGAGGCACTGAAGGCTGGAATGGGCTAGGCTTGGTACTTTAGGTTCCCGAGAGTTTCTGTGTGGTTCAGTGTGGTGAAAGTTTCTGACACCATTACGAGGAATAGCGTAACCTTGAAGCAGCCGTAGCATCCCAATCGTTCAATATGGCTCCATACTTGCAAACTCTCATTGTCAGGACTCCTAGATTCTGTCCGAGTTGCTTCATGCTCTGTCGGATCAAGCACCCAGACAGTGATACATATACATCCCTAGTTGCCTATTCCTCTTTCATTGTTGGCTATTCTACCTTCTACTTTCCGGTGATCGTCTTCATATTACTGCGTGTATCCTTCCAGACATGCCACTACCCTCGAGGATTATAGACCATGCGTGAAGAAGTAGCTCTCTTTTTCATCAAACGACCCTTTCGTGCGATGCGATCGCCACTGTTCGTCGCTTGAATAAATCTCATTCCGCCGTTACGAGCTCAATGGAGGCCCTCAATAGACGTCTGGTGTACCGATTTCGTGGACGCTTTACTTCCCTAGCGAGGAGTTTCTTGTACGTGCGCAGCCTTTAGTCTAGACTATGAAGACTATTTAGAGTCTTAGTAGTATGCATAAGAAGCTCTGGCTTCAACTATGTGAAGGAATTTGCTGGAAAAAACGCCAAGGCAGAAAGTTCAAGTAATTTCATTGAAGAAGGCATACAAAAACAGAAAACACAAAGCAAGTTATAAGCAGAAGGATCTCTGATTTCGCCCTCGCGCCGCGCCTAATATCGAGCTGAGTTGTACTCGGCTCAATTCCCAAATCCAACCATGCACCGAACGCGCCTCGAGTTCGAATTTCAGACTTCCTTGGACGCGCCTTTGACCCGGCGTGACTTCTCTTCACGTCGATCCAAATCTGCACATTTCAGCCACTTTCTTCACCATTTTCATACGCTTCCTCTTCTTCTCTTTGTTTCCCATCGTATATCCTGCTGCCGCCGTATTTCTCCTTCCACCGTCCCAACATAGCTAGTCTCTCTTCTTCTTAGGTCTTCGCTTTCCCTTAGTCTCATCTCGTCAAGCCGGATTCTTCTTAGGTCGATGTAGATCGCGTTAGGTCGTGGTTAGCTAACCACCTTCAACAGAGTTTTCTCCCGAGGACCGACGAGCCGAGCTTATCAAATCGCTCATTGACGGATTCCTGACGGAGAAAGGCCAGCAGCTGCTGCAGCAGGTAGTACTGGAAAATCTTGCTGGAGTGTTCCGATCCACTGCTTGGATGACATTGCAACAGTAGCACATTCCTGATGCCACGACAGGCTATTCCTGACAACTCCTGAGGCATGGCCTGACTGACATTCGTGACTCAGGAAAGATGGATAATGTTGCATGTATTGACATCCCCTGATGCACTGATGACCATTTTGTAAAACAGATGACAAGAGTGACATTTCCTGGGATAATCTTGGGCATAATTAACTCTGTCATCTGCAGATGCAGCTGCTAGCAATGTCTGATGCTCACTGACGCTTCCTGATGCGATGACTGACATTGCGCGATACCACAACTGACAATTTCAGGTGCAATGGCAGATACGTCCCATCCCATCGCGGTGACAGGAATTTTCAGATATATTCTCCTTGTTGCCTTCTCCTGAACAGGCCGACCCTAAGGAGCTGTCTCTCTACTCGAGATGGACGGTCAGCATGGAGGCACTGAAGCAGCATCTGCAGCCTGCGAGCAGCACTGGCCAGACTGATCTAGGTGCAGCTGCGGAGCTGCTGCTTCAAGCACTCGAAGCAGCGCCAGAGGAAGCACTCGCCTGCCTGGGTGCTGCCGCCACTGAGATGTTCCTGGAGAGAGGCCTGATTGAGGCCCCAGCCCTCCTCTCCGGTACAGCATGTGCCACACAGCATGCCTCGTTCGCCTGGCTGTGAGGCTGGTGGATCACACTGACTCAATCATTGAATTCAAGAAGCTTAAGGCCAGCAGCCTCGGTGAGTCTATTCTTTCAGCAGACTTGGTAACAATCCTGTAAATCTCGTTTGAGGTCGTCTCGCCTGGCTGTGAGGCCGGTGGATCACAGCGATTCAGTCAACGAGTTCAAGAAGCTCAAAGCCAGCAGCCTCGGTGAGACCGTCAAGCACACTGACACGGAGGAACTTGCATTTGTAACAGTGCTTAAGACTCCGATGCGAAGCTGTAGCTTGCACTGAACATGTTTTTGATTCAAATCGCATGTTCATCGCCTTAGCTTGAGTTCTATGGGAATTCACTCACACAGCCCCTCCGTCGCCTCGCCTCTGCTCTCCTCTCCTCGCCTCCCTCTCCTCTACTGTTCTCCTCTTCTCTCCTCTCCTCTCCTCTCCTCTCCTCTCCTCTCCTCTCCTCTCCTCTCCTCTCCTCTCCTCTCCTCTCCTCTCCTTTCCTCTCCTCTCCTTTCCTCTCTTCTCTGCTGCCCTCCCCTCTCTTCTTCCTTCACGCAGATCGGCTGGTCACTGTGTGTGGGACAGTGGTGCGGGTGGGTCCACTGCGGCCACTGGTGGTGGCCATGGATTTCACCTGCACGCGCTGTGGCGCCGTGACCTCCCTCTCCTTCCCTGACGGTCGTTTTACCCAACCTGCTGCCTGCGGTCATGACAACTGCCGTAACCGCACGTTCCTGCAAAACCGGGCAGGTGCCCGGAAAATAAACTTCCAGACAATACGGTGAGTAGTGGGTGTTTGCCACAAAAAGTGCGACTGTGACCTCTGGGAGGACCTGGCAGATGCGTGCCTGTCTCACACACACCCCCCCCTACAATTACTATCCCAATTCTTCCAATGTTTCTCCCACGCTCTCTTCCGACATGCAGTCTACAGGAGCTGACAGGGGGCGCAGGAGGGGGCGAGGACATGGGGAGGATGCCGCGGGTGGTGGACTGCGAGTTGAGGGAAGACCTGGGGGATGCATGCCTGTCTCTCACCCACCCCTTCAACCATCACTGCAATCACTCGCATTGTTCCCCTGCATTTCTCGAAATGCAGTCTCCAGGAGCTGACAGGGGGCACAGGAGGGGGCGAGGATATGGGGAGGATGCCGCGGGTGGTGGACTGCGAGTTGAGGGAGGACCTGGCGGATTCATGCCTGCCGGGGGACGTGGTGGCGGTGTGTGGCATTGTCAAGATCATCAACAACGAGATGGACGTGGGAGGAGGTGAGGGAATAGGGGTGAGGAGACATGGGTGGAAGGTAGATTTTTCATCGGCTTAGAAGTTGTGTGTCTGCCGGGGGATGTGGTGGCGGCATGCGGCATTGTCAAGCGTCTCAATGATGAGACTGACGTGGGGGGAGGTGAGGGGGTGGGAGGGGTGGGAGGTGAGGGAGTGGGAGAAAATGGGGTTTTTGAGTCGAACGCACACATACATGTCTATGGATGCGTTTGAAATGTTTTTTTTTTTTTTTTACTCATGGCAGGGCGGTCCAAGAAAAGAGAGCAGTGTCTCTTCCACCTCTACATAGACGCCATCTCCGTCGTCAATGCCAATGCCCAGTCAACCGCTTCAAGCCCCGCCACCACCGCTGCTGCAACTGCCACTCCTGCTCTCCGCTCTCCTCCCTCTGCGGGTGGTGCGAGTGGAGGGGCGGTGGAGCTGGGGGAGGAGGACCTGAGGAGCATACTGGAGTATGTGGTGGAGCATGAGGGGGAGGGCGACCTGTTTCAGCACATTGTGCACTCCTTCTGCCCCTCCATCTACGGCCACGTGCTCGTCAAAGGTGAGGCCACGTGGCACCTACAAGAATCCTCATCTTCAAGCACATCGTGCGCTCCTTCTATCTACGGCCATGTGCTCGTCAAAGGTGAGGCCACGTGGCACCTGCAGGGGTGTCCCGTTTCTACCCTGTTTCCATCTTCCTTTGTCGTCAACTCATGCCTGCCTACCCAACATCCCTCGCTCCCCTCCCTCCCTCCATCTCTCCTCCCTTCCCACTTCCATCTCTGCCAACCCCTTAAGCACCAACAGGCGAATCCTCCTTTTGATTTCTTTCCACGCAACCTTCTCTTGCCATCCCTGTCTCTCTTCACCCAATCATTTGCAGCTGGCATCATTTTGTCCCTCTTTGGAGGGGTGCGCAAGCATGAGGGGGACGCCAACCGCGTGCCAGTCAGGGGTGACGTGCATGCGTTGCTAGTAGGTAAGCACGTACGATGGTGTGTGATGGTAATGGCTATGTGCTCGCTTGTCTATGCCACTGAAAACTACCTCTGCGAGTGGATGTATCCTGCAGGCAGCAGGTGCGGAAATTGTCATTTCTAGCTGCTTGTGATTGTGTCTTTTCCTTGAATCAGAGCACATCCGACTTTCTTCCACCTTCCCGACATCCCGCTTCTTGCCTGCACGGGTTTGGCAAGCATATCTACTGCAAAGGTTGACTGCATCACAGAGGTATCAACTTCCCTTACATATCCTCTCACTCACTCGCACCATCCAACCAGGCGATCCAGGCATGGGCAAGAGTCAGCTGCTCAAGGCAGCAGCAGCGGTGGCACCTCGTGGTGTGTACGTGTGTGGCTCTGGTGCCTCCTCTGTGGGGCTAACGGTGGCAGTGGTGAAGGATGGGCCTGGTGGAGAGTACGCCTTTGAAGCAGGTTGGTGGTGGGGTGGGGAGGAGATGGGGTGGGGAGGAGATGGGATGGGGAGGAGATGGGGTGGGGAGGAGATGGGGTGGGAAGGAGATGGGGTGGGGAGGAGATGGGGTGGGGAGGAGATGGGGTGGGGAGGGTTTGTGCACCTGTCACAGTTCTCGTGGGGTGTACGTGTGTGGCTCTGGCGCCTCGTCTGTGGGGCTAACGGTGGCAGTTGTGAAGGACGGGCGTGGTGGGGAGTATGCATTCGAAGCAGGTTGGCGGGCTGGCGGCTTCACGGGGATGCGGGCTCACGGTGATGTGGGCTCACGGTGATGTGGGCTCACGGGGATGCGGGCTCACAGGGATGCGGGCTCACGGGGATGCGGGCTCACGGTGTTGCTTGAGGTTCGAACCAAAGACCTTTCTGCACAAATTTTCTCCCTCTCTCACCTCATCCTCTCCTCTCCCACTCGCATCACAGGAGCAAAGGTGATGGCAGATCAGGGCACATGCTGCATTGATAAATGTGACTATTTCCAGATGCCTGAAGATTTCGATTTACTCACTCTCTCACCTCATCCTCTCCTCTCCCTCTTGCATTGCAGGAGCTATGGTGATGGCGGACCAGGGCACGTGCTGACAAAATGTGAGGCGCTTGATGCTTGGCGCTTGGACGGCACCCTTACTCTCTTCCCCTGTCGTCCTCTCCCGTTGCTTTCCCCTGCAGGAGCAATGGTGATGGCGGATCAGGGCACGTGCTGCATTGACGAATTCGATAAGATGGGCAACGAGCAACAGGTGGGCGGGGCGTGGGTAGCGTGATGTCGTGAGAAATAAGAGGATCAATGGACCTGTGTAATGAAATGCGTCTCTGCTTCCCGTGCCTCTTGTCTTTCCACATCTCTCTCTCCACTCCCTCCCACCCACCAGCTCCGCTTCTTTCTGATGGGAGAGAAACTGATGGGAGAGAAACCCTCTCCCCACTGAGAGCCATGGCTCTGCAGAGCGTGACTGCGCCCAAGGCTGCTGCAACAGCTGCACCCTCTTCATTTTTACCTTTGCTCTTTCCGTCCTCAACCCCCACGTCCCCTCTCTAGGCAATGAGGAAGCAATGGAGCAGAAGAGTGCGAGTGTGAGTGTGTGGCCAATGCTTCATTTACGTCCTCACCCCCTCCAGCTTTACTTGGCTCTTTCCTTTCTTCTTCCTCGCCCCGCTCCCTCCCCAGGCGCTACTGGAGGCGATGGAGCAGCAGAGCGTGAGTGTGGCCAAGGCAGGTCTGCTGGCAAACTTCAGTGCACGCACTGCTGTGCTGGCTGCTGCCAACCCCGTTGGCGGGCATTACAAGTGAGTTTCTAGTCGACTTAGAAGCCAACTTCAGTGCGCGCACTGCTGTGCTGGCTGCTGCCAACCCTGTTGGGGGGCACTAGAAGTGAGTTTCTAGTCAGCTCTAAATTCACTTCAATGCGCGCACTGCTGTGTGGCTACTGCCAACCCGATTGGGGCCCACTAGTGGTGAACAGAACTTTCAGCCGTACATTCAACAAATCTCTATCGATCTTCTCTTTTTCGTTTCTCTCCTGACAACCTTTCTTCAGGTCCTCCTGACCTCTTTCTATCGGTCCTCAGGTCCTCCTGACCTCTTTCTATCGGTCTTCAGGTCCTCCTGACCTCTTTCTATCGGTCTTCAGGTCCTCCTGACCTCTTTCCGCTCTGGTGATTCCGTTCCCAAACCCCGCTTTTCATACATGGCCCCTCCCTTCCCTTCCCATCCCATCCTCTCCCATTACCTCCCATCCTCCCTCCACACCAGTCGAGCACGCACGCTGAACGAGAATTTGAAGCTGTCTGCCGCCCTGCTGTCAAGATTTGATCTGATCTTCATTCTCCTGGACCGCCCAGATCACCATACGGACCAGCGCCTATCAGAACACGTGCTGCAGGTGCGAGGGCGGGGAGGGAGACATGTAGCTTACATACGTGAGAAATACGCACTTAAGGCATGTTCCTTTACATATGTTGTTAGAGTAATGTGAAGAGAGTTAGAAGTTGGCTTTTGCTTTACCAGACAGACTCTTATAACCAGGTGACTTTTGAGTCGACTCAAAAGTCACCTAATGTGAAGTGAGTTAGAAGTTGGCTTTTGCTTTACCAGACAGACTCTTATAACCAGGTGACTTTTGAGTCGACTCAAAAGTCACCTAATGTGAAGTGAGTTAGAAGTTGGCTTTTGCTTTACCAGACAGACTCTTATAACCAGGTGACTTTTGAGTCGACTCAAAAGTCACTTAATGTGAAGTGAGCTAGAAGTTGGCTTTTGCTTTACCAGACAGACTCATATAACCTTCTCCTTGTTGCCTCATGTCCCGCAGATGCATGCCGGCATGCCGGCTCGCTCCAAGGCATCTAAGCGCAGCTGTAAGCCATGCCGCACACTTGCTGCCACATTGCCTCCCATTCTGATTCCCACAATGCCTACCACACTGCCTCCCTCACTGCCTTCCGCATCGCCTGGGTTCCATGTGAGTTCCAGATCACTTTGTCTATACTTGCTGCGTCCTTGCCTTCCCCCCTCATGCAGTCAATTCACCTCCTCTTTACCATTAGATCACTATCACTGTTCACTCAGCAAGGTCACCATCTCTTATTGGATCGCCTCTTATGTGAACGACTATAACACTCACCTTTCTCGATTGTCCCCCTCCCTCCTCTCCCATCCCATCCCACCCACCTCAACAACCCCATTCCACCAGCCCATCTCTTCCTGACGGCCCCATCAGCCACGGACGGCCATGCATCGCACCTCGACCTGCCTCTCTCCCACCGCCTGCGCCTGCGCTCCTCTGCTGCCCGCAACTTCTCCCCCCTCCCCCCTGCTCGCCTGCGCCAGTACATTGCCTATGCCCGCACGCACGTGCACCCCAGGTGCATCCCTCCCACCCTGCTTGACATTTCTCCCCTCCCTCCCTCCTGCTCGCCTATGCCCGCACCCATGTGCACCCCAGGTGCGTCCCACTTATAGTAACGTTCAGCCTTCCCCCCCCTCTCGCGTGCTTGCCCTTGCTAGCACATCGTTTGTGCCCTCCCACATGCACCTGCACTTTAGCTGCGTCCTCATGACCAGTGGACCCCCTTTTTGCCTCCTGAGGTGCCTCAATCTTACAGCTACCCTCCTGCTGCCAACCATGGCCACCCACTGCATTCGCACAGCCGCCGTTTTTGCCGCCCGCCACAGGCTGTGAGAGGAGGCACGGGCAGTGATCAAGGCGATCTCTTTTCTGCCACTCGTTGCAACTACAGGCTGTGAGAGGAGGCGCGGGCAGTGATCAAGGCGTTCTACATGCAGTTGAGAGAGCACAGCCACCATGCCTCCCTTTTTGCTGCCCACTGCAAATCCGAATTTTAAATCTTTTCTGCCACTCGTTTTGACTACAGGCTCTCAGAGGAGGCGCGTGCGGTGATCAAGGCGTTCTGCAGACTATCAGAGGGAGCACAGTCGCACATGGACGGCTCTTCAACCTCACCCTTTTTGCCGCTCCCTTGACAGGCTCTCAGAGGAGGCACGGGCAGTGATCAAGGCGTTTTACCTGCGACTGAGAGAGCACAGCCGGGCCATGGACGGCCCTCCAATCACAGCGCGCCAGCTGGAGAGCCTCGTCCGGCTCGCCGAGGCTCGGGCCCGCGTGGAGCTGCGGGAGGAGGTTACCGAGGCTGATGCCCAGGTACGGGGTGGTTTGGTGTTCTGTGAGATGTGCCCTGCTGTGGTTTGGTGTGGTTTGGTGGGGTTCGACAGTGGATCTGATGGGGGGATATCCAGCAACCTGGCTGCCGTTTGCCTTGTCCTCTGCACCACACACAACCCCTATCCACCCTTCGCCATCCCACCAGGAGGCAGTGGAGCTGATGGGGGAGTGCCTGTTAGACAAGCTAACAGACGAGGCGGGCAACATAGACGCGGGTCGGGGCGGCAGCTCCAGCAAGTCAAAGGAGTCAAAGCGGTTCCTTGCTGCCCTGCAGCGCACCGCCAAGCAAGCCATCAAAATGTGCTTCTCCAGGAAGGTGCGTCTTGAGTCCTAAGTTGAGTTGACTCACATGTCCACTCACATTGCAAGTCACCTTCAGCAAGTCAAAGGAGTCAAAGCGGTTCCTTGCCGCCTTGCAGCGCACTGCCAAGCAGGCCATCAAAACGTGCTTCTCCAGGAAGGTTCGTCTTGACTTTTGACACCACTCATATCACCACTCGCTTCACCACTCACATCATCACTCACACCTGCCAAGCAGGTCATCAAGACGTGCTTGTCCAGAAAGGTCCTTCTCATCTCCTCCAAATAGTGCGTGGAGTGTCAGACAAATTCGCAGAGTTAGATCTTCATCAGACCCTTGATTTGACTTATCCTGCCCATCTTTACATCACAATGAGCAGGCGATCCAGTCGCTGGTGTGGATTCTGATTACCTCGTGTCCTCATGCCCTCATGTCCTCATTCATGTCCTCATGCCCTCATGCCCTCATGCCCTCATGCCCTCATGCCCTCATGCCATGCCACGCTTTCCTTGCATTGCATACCTCGTTGCCCCATCTCTCCCCGTGCCTGTCAGGAGCTGGCCCAATTAGCGGATGACATGTGTCTCAGGGTGCCGGATCTAGATGCACTCATTAACAGCTTGAATGAAGCAGGCTACCTGCTGAAGAAGGGTGGTGGTCTCTTCCAGGTACGAGCCACTTTCATCCCTCCATTAGAGCTTAGGGTTGGGGACTTTTGTACCCATGACTTGTGTGACTGCTTGTGACTTCTATTGCTGGTCACTGACGCATGTTCAGCTTTGATCCGTCGGTTTTGATGGCTGCTGGTTTGCTATTGGCTTTGACATCTGCTTGCAGGTGCAGACATGATGGGCAGTGTGAGGAAACTGCCGCCTAGCCTATCCACCTGTGTACATATCCAAATGCAGTCAAGCAGATGCAATGCAGCTGATGTTGCGCTTCATTGGTTGGAAGGTGTGAGCCAAATGTAACATGAATTGCGAATTGCATCAGCTCCTAGCACATGCCAGGACTCCGCCCAGGGCTGTGCATGCAAAATTCTGTCCCCAACCCTGCTGAAGATGGCACAGAATGCACAGCTGATAAATTATCACCTCATCACTGCCCTCACTGTAGGTATGCTCAGTAACGGTAATTAACAAATGGCATGCCCCAGCAGGACCTTCTGATTGGTGCCAGCCAGCAGCACTGCTGCTCATGCACTCGTACTCCCTGCTCCTCTATCCCCTTCCCAGTGCCGATGGGCTGATGCCAGTGCACATGAAAGTGAATGCTTGGATATTTTACTGTTGAAGGCTCTAGAGCCCAAAAAAAGAGACAATCCGTAGTAGCCTAAATGCGTACAAATAACATAAGCATCCCCAAATTTTCTCCCCTTGAAATCTCCCTTTTTTTACGAGGACAGAGCCTTCACCAGCTCCTGCTTGGTGTTACCGCGGATACCCCTTTGGGCGGCAATCGCACGCAGCTGCGCAAGCGACTTCGTAGCGAGGACACTCGCGCTGGGGAGGGACGGCGCGGAGGAGGACGCGGGAGCGGAGTACGACGGGGTGTACGACGACGACGAGCTCACAGCGCTGCCGTTGGTGTAGGCGGGGGCGGCGGGCGCAGCAGCCTTGGGGGCGGCGGAGCCACTGCAATCGCAAGGCAGGAAAGAGGTCAGTAAGAAACATGTCATTCACCAGTTGCTGCTGATATTATTATTATCACTATCAGCTTTGCGTTTGTGCATTATTATAAAGAGTTCAAGAAGAGAGAAATGGTACTTACGTCAGGAGCTTGATGAGCTCCGCGCGGGTGTCTCCACGCACTCCCCGCGCCTTAGCAAGGGCGCGCAGCTCGCTCAAGGGGAGGCTCTCTAGCTGCCCCACAATCTCGGGCTTGTCCTGCGCCGCCGCCTGCACCGCGGCCGCGGGAGCGCCAGCAACGCCGGCCTTGGAGTGGTACGCGAGCAGCCCCGCAACCAGCTCCGCGCGGGTGGTCCCCACGACTCCGCGCATACGCGCAACGGCGCGCAGCTTGGACATGGGCTTGGTCTGGAGGCGGCGCTGGTAGTCGGAGATAGACTGGGTGTTGGGGACCACCGGCGCGAGCGCCTCCGCGGAGAAGGACATCGCGGGAGGGGCGGGGGCGGGAGTGACACCGCCGACGCTCCTGCGGTTGGGAAGAACATAAGCAATCATATCATCAGCAAAAGAGGTAACAATGGCTCACGCAAGAGCTGGAAACAGTCTTGGTAGCATAATTTTGGCAGGAGCAAAGACATAGACACAGACAGCCGAGAAGCAGCGCTTGACATGAGCAACACCACAAGGCCAACACCACAAGGCTGTGGGTGTACGCCGAAAGACGAAACACGCAAGACGGACGAGGTAGGCGGGCTTACAGGAGCAGCTTGATGATCTCCGCCTTGGTGTCGCCGCGGAGACCCTTGGCGGAGGCGAGCGCGCGCAGCTCACCCAGAGACTTGCTCTGCAGGAGGGCCTCGTCGCTCGACACGGCCGCTGCAGCGCGGCTGTATGACGACGCGGGCTTGGCTGCGGAGGCACCGCTGCGAGAAGGAATAAGAGAGTCACGACAACAGCGAGATAAATATTAAGGGCGGCATTGAGGTATGTGAGCACTTAAACAAACACGAACAGCTTAAGAACTGTTTTTTGCGGAGGGAAATAAAAAATATGAAGCAGCGGAGGGGTGCACCAACGGCGAGGAACCCACACGAACCAGCGGTTATCGGACGGGATAACTGTAGATGATACACCAACGATTCAACCTACGACTCACCCAGTGAGAGCGGCGATGATCTGTTCCTTGTTGTTGCCGACGATACCCCTTTGGCGGGCCATGGCGCGCAGCTGCTCCAATGACCTGGCCTGCAGGTCGCGAGCGGTCAAAGCCGCGACAGCGACGAGTGACCGACGCTGCTGCTTGGCCTGGATCGCTGGGAGCGAGACCATCGTGGACACGGAGCGTGCCTGCTCCATGGAGGAGAGAGCAGGTGCTGCGAGGAAGGCGGACTGCAGAAAAGAAAGGAAAACAGAGACGCATGTGCAGACGGAAGAACATTGTTAGACATTGAAAACGGTCGGATAAAGTCGGCATTGCGAGGGTTATGATGGCGGTTAGAAACCTAATGCTGTCGTTATGATTGTGAAAGAGCTTCTGGCCGTCGTTCTGTTGGTGAATCTATGACTGGAAATAAGAGCTTAATCCTACTCTGGAACGTCAATAAGGACTAGAGTGGCAAGGACAAGTACCTTCTGAGCGACGGCGGCCATGGTTGCTCTTTGCTGATGAAGCTGACGAAGAAGCGAGGTAGGAAGGAGTTAGCTTATCAGCAACTGAGCAGAAAGGCAGACGAGCGAGCAGAAGACAATTTCCGAAATATAGCTAGGCTCTCTCAATTTGAGCAGTCTCTCGCCTTGGGGATGCCGTGGCTGCCAAACCACTTCGGTTTCCTCGCCACCGTGGAACACTCCGCTGGCATTTTGGCAGTTGGCTTTGGTAGGAGGGGTGTTGAGTGGGGTGAGGAGGGGTAATGGGAGATGCATGGGGGAAAAGCGGAAACCAACAGGGCATGGCATGTGCGCCGACGAGCTTCGCGGGAATGCGTGAGAGCCCTAAGTAATTGCGCGGCTCCGGTGCGGACGATTTTCCGGGCAAGGTTCGTCTCAGTCCCCACCACACGTGCCCCCGAACGAAATTGCTGGTCTGGGTTTGACTACAGACGGGTGATAGATCAAATTGCCAGCGTGGCGAGCCTCAAAAAGAGCGTTTTCCGAATGGTTCGGCCATGCTGGCAGTTTCCACGTCGGATAATGAGCTGACGGTATGGGTCTAGGTTCACGAACGGCCGTTTGCCTAGCAACTGCTTTTTGGGGGGGCAGAAAGACAAATGAGCATAGAACTTGAAACTTTTAGCTTTTCGGGCAGCAGCTCTCTGACGAACTCTTTTTCGTTATCCACGCAGGAACCGCTGACGTGGTTTTGATGTGGCCAGCTAGCCAGCTCTGCCTTAGTAGCGCGTCCAGATTCAAAATCGCCCATCTAGTGGCTCCCGACGCTTGTCCCGAATCAAGGCCCGATGGGATGTTTCAGCGGGCACTTGTGGCTGATATTTCCTCCGAATCGAACCACCTGCCACGCGGCAAAATCCGAGAGCAGATAGCTCCCTCCCCATCGGTCATCGAGAGCCGTCGTGGTCTGTAGTTGACCGTGGTGCTCGTAGAGCCCTCCTTGTCGCGTGGCATCTGTCCGACGTGGCATCTAGTGGATCCTCTCATCCACCGTCTGTGGTGGCCGAACTCGACACCAGGCAGGCAGATGGCTGCCAATCAGTTGACTCTTCATTCCTCACCAACCTCTCAATTCTTCAATCCTGTCTTGCCTTGGTTGTCCCAGTCTGCTAACCCTGAGAGTGTCCACTCCATTGTTCTTCACTGGCTGACTCGAAGCGAGTTTGCTCCCACGAGTTACTCGTTCCATTCGCCTTCGCCGTGTTTCTTGGCGATTGTCGTCCGTGCACGCGCTACTAGCTCTCCGTGTGTGACGACCTCATAGCCGACAGCATGGCTTCCACCACTCTCTCAGCCAAGGTCCGCCATCCCAACCTAAGTTCCACTCTCACCCAGGCTGTCATCACCTTGATTTCATTTTTCCACTGCGCTTTTCGCCAAACTTGGCTCGTACACTTAGCGCACTCAAATCTCCTTGCCATACGCCCGAACCTCTGCTCTCTTTTCCCGTCTAACCGCACTTCCCCCACCGTTTTCCTTCCTTCTCCCGCCTTCCTTTCTTCTTTCCCCCGGCTTCTCCTCCCCCTGTACCCTTTTGCAGATTGCCTCATCCGCGCTGCTCGGTTCGTCCGCGCAGCTCTCCAGCAATGCCACCCTCTCGGGCGCAAAGCTCCCGGGAGCTCCCCCCGCGGGCCGCGCGCGCGTGACGTGCATGGCGGAGGACCGCTGGGCGGCGCTCGGGCGCGACATTTCCGACGACCAGCAGGATATCACCCGCGGGAAGGGTATGGTGGACTCGGCGTTCCAGGGCGGGTGGGGTCAGGGCACGCACGCCGCCGTGCTGAGCTCCTACGACTACATGAGCCAAGGCCAGCGCAAGTACGTCCCGCGTTCTCTGCATCTTTTTTGCATCTCGTCTCCGTCTCGTCTTCCGGTATTACAATAGTGCTCTTACTAAAGCCGTGCGCTCTTACTCTCTATCCTCGTTGGTAGTCGCCTACCTTGCCTTCCATTGAATCTGCGAGCAATTTCGCGCCATTGCCGGAGAGCCACGCGCAGAAGTCGCCGAACGCCGAACCACGTGCTGAATCGTCGCCTCGCTGCTCCCTGTGTCGCTCTCGTTCCGCCAAAGGGTGTTTTTGAGAATTCTCAAAAACACCTCTCGTTCCGCCACCGTTCTCCCGCGAACTAGTCAACGTCTCTTCTTTTCTTGTGACGCTTCGCCATGTCGCTTTCGCATCCGCTCTCCCGCAGTTTTGAGGAGCGCGACTGCAGGAACCGTGCGCTCCATTCGCGCCTCTTCCTCGCCGCCTATCAACCAACTCTTCAACCTTTCTCTTTCCCTCCTTCCCGCACCAATCCCCGCCTCTCGCCCCTCCCACCCTGCTCTCTCCACCCGTTCCCCCCTCCTCCCCCCCGCCAGTCTGAGCAACGTGACGGCGGAGGGGCTGTACATCGCGCCGGCGTTTATGGACAAGATGCTGGTGCACATCGCGCCAACCGTTGAATGTGCCTCACAAGCGACTCGTGTCCCCTGTTTCGACCCGTACCCACTTTCCAGCCTCCCCTCCTTCCACTCCCCTCCCCCTCCCCTCCCCCTCCTCCCCACTCACCCCCCACTCTCCCCCTTCCCCCCCCTCTTCTCTTCAGTCTGAGCAACGTGACTGCCGAGGGGCTCTATATCGCCCCCGCGTTCATGGATAAGATGGTGGTGCACATCTGCAAAAACTTCATGCAGCTGCCCAACATCCGCGTGCCGCTCATTCTCGGCATCTGGGGTGGCAAGGGCCAGGGCAAGTCCTTCCAGGTATGTCCTCCGCGCGTTGAAGTTCTCCCCTTCCCCTCCCCCTCTTCTTTTTTTCTTCTTATCAACTTCGAACTAGCTGCTTCTATCTTGCTCGCCGCCCCCCCTCCCCACCCCCCTTCCCTCCGCCCACAACCCCCACCTCTTCTTCTAATCCTTTTTGCAATGACGTGTTGTGTAATGGTTATTTCATAGTTTCATTCCTCTGCAGTGCCATGGTTACGCGCTTGAGATATTTGCCTATTCGTATCTATCCAGTATGCATTTAGTAGCTATCTCTAAGGTATGGCTGTCTGACCCGCATATCCGCGTATCTCCTTGTGTACTCGTTACAGTGCGAGCTGGTGTTCGCTAAGATGGGCATCAACCCCATCATGATCTCCGCGGGAGAGCTCGAGAGCGGAAACGCCGGAGAGCCCGCCAAGCTCATTCGCCAGGTGAGCACGCCGCATTGCTGCAATCGGTCTAATTATTACAAGCTTGTTCCTCGTGTCGTTATGTCGCTGCTTGCGATTGGGCGTCTCTTAACATGTTGCCCGAGCATACCTCTTGCGATCAAAATGCCCCTGTGCCCCGCCTCCCGTATATATTATCCTCATTGTTGCGTTGTTCCGCCTTAATCTCTCCCGCAGCGCTACCGCGAGGCGTCGGATCTGAACAAGAAGGGCAAGATGTGCGCGCTCTTCATCAACGATCTCATCAACAGTCACAACTCTCAAACCACCTGCCTTACCCCATCTCCTTCCCTCCCTCCCCTCCCCTCCCCCCCCCCCCCCCCCTCCCCCCCCTTCCCCCACAGCGCTACCGCGAGGCGTCGGATCTGATCAAGAAGGGCAAGATGTGCGCGCTCTTCATCAACGATCTCGACGCGGGCGCGGGCCGCATGGGCGGCACGACGCAGTACACGGTGAACAACCAGATGGTCAACGCCACGCTCATGAACATCGCCGACAACCCCACCAACGTGCAGGTACGCTGCGCGCCGCTGCCCTCGTTTCGTTGTGTTGCGTCTGCTAGTTGTTCCCTCGCGCGACTAGCTCCAGTTCGCGCAGGTTAACAACTTCTCTGTTGTCGCCGGGTAGGGGTTGAGAGAGTAAAGGCGCGTCGGTAAGGCTGCTGGGTGGGAGGGCGGCGGCACGACGCAGTACACGGTGAACATCCAGATGGTCAACGCCACGCTAATGAACATCGCCGACAACCCCACCAACGTCCAGGTACGCTAACCACCACGCTGTTGCGAGTTCTTCCTCTTTTTTTTTTTCGGCGTTGTTTAGTTAGGAGGTGAACGCCCGGCTGCTTAGTTAAGCGCGTATAGCAGCGGTCGGCACAGGTTGGACACCGCTCTTTAGTCGCTAACTGTAGAGTATGCGAATCTCCGAGGCAATTCCATGATTGGTTGGCATTGCTCGTATCGCGAAACTCCGAGGCAGTCCAGGGTTGAAATCTCCTCTAATCGTGTTGGAGGGATTGGTTGGCATTTCTCTTATCGCGAAATTACTGTGTTTCTAAGGAATGTCCGAACGTGGTTGTAGCGAGAGTGCCTCTAGAGGATGCGACCTTGGCTTGATGGACCTTACGACTATTGCTGATAAGTTAGGGATAAATCAGCAACCACAAAATCCTACATTAAATACGTAGTAATGGAATGACATTATGATACACGGAATTCTACACATACCCGCTTTTCCTCCCTTCGCTAGCCCATCATCGCCACCCTCAATAACCCCTCTTCCCTCCCAACCACTCCCGCTAACCTCTGTACCTCATAGGCATCCCTCCTTCCCTCCACTCACCCCCTTCCGCCCTTTTCCCTGTGCTGTCTCCTTCCCTTCTCCCTTCTATCTCCCCCGGTCCTTTTCCTGGATGATTGGCATCTACAACAAGCAGTAGATTAACTGAGTGCCTATCTTTGTGACTTGCACTCCTCCTTGACGCTTGGACTGATGCAACATGCCCTCTCTTCCCCCCTACCTACCCCCACTTGTCCTCCCGACCCCTTCCAGATGCCCGGCATTGACAACAAGGAGGAGATCAACCGGGTGCCCATCATCGTGACCCCCATGTTGCTTCTCCTTTCACTTCTCCTGTGTGCTGTCTGTTGCTCTCCTCCCACCTTCCATCTCTCCCCTTCGAATTCCAGATGCCCGGCATTTACAACAAGGAGGAGATCAATCGGGTGCCCATCATTGTGACAGGAAACGACTTCTCAACGCTCTACGCTCCTCTCATCCGCGACGGGCGCATGGACAAGTTCTACTGGGCGCCGACCCGTGATGACCGCATTGGCGTATGCAAGGGAATCTTCCGGGAAGACAACGTGTCCGAGGGTGACGTCATCCAGCTCGTCGACACCTTCCCCGGCCAGTCCATTGACTTTTTCGGAGCGCTGCGCGCGCGTGTGTACGACGATCTCGTCCGCAACTGGGTGGGCTCGATCGGGATTGAGAACATGGGCAAGAAACTGGTGAATTCCCGCTCTGGCCCTCCAGAATTCGAAAAGCCAAGCATGCCTCTGTCGACTCTCCTGGAGTACGGGCACCTGCTGGTGTCTGAGCAGGAGAACGTGAAGCGGGTGCAGCTTGCTGACACCTACCTCAACGAGGCAGCTCTTGGAAACGCCAACGCTGATGCCATTGCCCGGGGGACCTTCGATGGCGGCAGGACTCCCCCTGTTGCTCCCCCCACTCCTGCTGCTCCCAAGGCTGCTGCTGCTGCTCCGCCTGCTCGTGCCGCTGCGCCGGCGCCGGCTGCAGGGGGTGCTGCTGGGCTGGAGGGCAAGTCGCTGGGGGAGCTGAGGGCGCTGGCGAGGCAGAGGGGTGTGCGGGGGATACCAAGGCGGAGCTTATTAAGGCTCTTTCTGCTGTCCCTGCTGCTGCTGCTGCTGCCGCTGCTCCTGCTGCTGCTGCTCCCGCTGGCAACGGTGCTGCCAAGTAAGTAATGGCCGTCAGACCACCAGGCCCTGAGTAGTGTCTGATTTCCCCCTTTCCAGCCCTTTCCTTCCGCCCCTTGACGTATTCATACTCGTCCATGAAATTAAAGGTTGCGGATGTTGAGTTACTTGTCAAGTTGTTGGTAGTTGTTTTGCTTGTCATTGGCCCTTGCTGTTCATCTTACCACCCTGAAACCTCCAATGCACCCTTCATAAGTGTAATCCCCATTTCCATTGGTCTAGAATTCCTTTCTCAACATCCCTCCATTCTCTTCCTCCCCTCCTCCCTCCCCCCATCATCCACAGGGCGACGCCCATCCCCGCCTCATCGCTGGCCAACAAGTCGCTGGGTGAGCTGAGAGCCATGGCCCGTCAGAGGGGCGTGCGGGGCGACACCAAGGCGGAGCTCATCGCGCTGCTCTCCAAATAGGTGAGCTGCGGTGGATTGGTGAGCTGGGGAATGGTGGTGTTGAAATTGTGAAGTTGAACAGGAGCCGCAACTCCTCCGATGGTATGGTGTGCTCTCAAGGCTGAAATGGGAGACATGCCAAGTCTCGAGTAAAAGGCAGTGTATTTGCTTGACTCCATCCTGGTTCTTGTGTTTGTTTACCGTTGTGTTAGGGTTGGTTTGGTTGTTTTAGTCGGTGCTCTGTGCCTTTCTCCCTTGCTCGTGCCTTGCAGGAACATGGCAGACATCCCACTCAATAATTTGTCATTAACGTGTTCCTAGAATTCTGTTCGGCTGCTCTGCTCCTTGTTTTTATGCCTGGTTTGTGGAAACTTCGGTTGGGATTGGCCAACCTGATTCTTTTTGTTTCCAACTTGTAATGAGGAAAATCCTAGACGTCTACACCATGGGTGTCTGCAGAACATCTTGAATACCAGTAATGTACTAAACAACCTGCTGAGAAGATTTGACAAGCAATTAACCACCATTCATCTTCTCAAAGATACGTTAATGTGATGTGTGAAGTTCTCTTTGTTAAATGATACGGCATTGGTGCAAGGATTGCCAAACATGAATAGACTCTTGGCAACTTACCAAGTGGAGCAGTGAAATGAACGCAGTTGGAGCTCTACTCTCCCAGATGCGTACCAAATGGTTTAGGGACAGCAGGATGAAAAATACAGAAAGCTGCCTTGCTTCATCTTGTCACCACCATACCTCAAACGTGCAGTGCACACACCTCACTTGTGCAGTGTGCTCGGAGAGCCAATAAAACCAGAGGTGTTGGGTTGGAAGAGGCGAGAAATAGTTTTCACTGCTGTCAATCAAGGACCCATGTACTGTAGATTCTTCATCATTTACCAGGTTTGTTATGTGAATTATGTTTTAAATACTAGTTGAGGGCTCTGAGTGCCTAAATCAAGTATACCTTGGATATAGTTGTGATGTGACCAAATCAGACAAGAAATAACTAGCTATCTTGTTTGCAATCCGCTCGTGTACATGCTTGGTTTGTTATAGGCCTGCTGGATTCCCTTGGGGCTGCGAGTTGATGCGGACAAAGTTTCACAAGACAGCTTGGCGCGCTCTGATTGTTTGTCATCGCAGAATGAACCATCTTCCTCCTGGCTACAGTGCGTGACTGGCGGCTGATGTAGGAATGATGCAGACGGACGTACACCATTGGTTATCTTTTCCTGGGAGAATGTGCGGACCGCGATAGACAGAAACTATGGCCCCCGATTGGCTGCGCTCACACTTTGACAATGGCTGCCCAATCGAATTGTGGCAATTAAGGCCTGGCTTCCACAAAAATCTTGCCACCGAAGTTGCTCCTAGAACCAGAGACGCCGTGGATGAAGCAGACCTTCGGGATTTCTGGTGGAGAAACGTTGGGAAAAGCAAACTGATGTCAGGCGTCACACGGAACGACCCCGACGCGCCGAACAGATCTCTATGAGGTTCACTGAGAACTCCGCGGGTGGGACCACATAATTCAAGATTCACGGAGGCGGGGCCTACGATGAGCTGTTCAAATGTGCGACCCTCATCCATGTACCCAGACTGTCTGTGTGACTTGTGGCAGATTCAAACTCGCCGCCAGCTTCGGATTATCCAGGCTGACCCCCTTACCCAATCCATTTCTTGTCATTCATTTGTGGCTGCTTTGACTCTTCAACAAACTCTGCCCAGCTCGTCCCTCAACTTTCTTTCGACTTTTCTGTTCACGTCAGCAACGGCATCTCACCATCGATCTCGTGAACTGCTCTTTCTTCTGTGCTCCGTCTTTTGTAGTGCTGACCCAGCGGATATTACGACGTTGTAAACACAGACTGGACAGGTCTTGAGAAAAGGCACACTTGCAGCTGAAGCGCAGTGAACGGAGCAGACGCAGCCATGTCTTCCTCAGCCTCGTGCTCGCTCTCCTCTCTCGCCGTCGCGTCCCCAAACCAAGTCGACGCACCAAACCACTCCCCAGTCACCTCATTTCCAGACCGCTCCCTAAAGCCGTCGCTCCGTAGCCCTCTTCCGCGTCCCACCTCGCCATGCTTTCACGCCGGCTTACTTTCAGTTAGGCCGGCGTTTACCCAGCGTTACCGTGGCAGACTGAATCCGTCAGTGCCGTCAGCATCCTCCCAGCACACGCTGCCAGCGTCCTCCCGGCATTCTAACTCGGCTGAACGAGGACGAAATCAAGCTCATACTGGCAAGTACCGGTCCAATATTGAAGAGGGTCGAACGGTCGTCTCTCCTGCGACCGACGCCGCGCCCCGGCAGGGATCCGTTGAGGACAAAAGACCTGCCACGTCACCAGGATCTGTTCAATCCGTCGCCAACGGCTGGGATGAGCTGGATAATCTGGAGGATATGACGGTGAGGCGGAGCGCGCGAAGCAGCGGCGGAAGTAGGGGAAGCGGGGCGCGGAGGACCGGCAGTGCGCGGTTCCGAGTCGCGGAGGAACTGCGCCGGAAGCACCGGGAGCGGAGCCAGGCGCAACAGGCGCAGCAGGTTCCGCCATACCGTGAAGGGCAGCCGCAGCAAGCGCAGCAGCAACGGCAGCAGCGGCGATACTCCGAGGCCGCGCGTGCATTTGAGCCGGAGGTGGTTTTCGAGGGGCCTAACGATGGCGGCGGGGAGTGGAAGCGAGCTGCGGGCCGTGTGTGGGAGTGGATAGCTGTAAAGAGCGGCAGCAGCGCTGGCGGCGCGGGGTCGTTATTTGAGTCGCTGTCCGCGAAATCTTCTGCGGGTAACATTTCGTCCGGTTCCGAGGGAGGTTTCGCGGACCTCGTGTTGCTCGCGATCTTTCGCGTCGTCCGCTTCTTCCGCCGAGCGGCCGCTTCGCTCAGCGCCGCCATCGTCGCCGCGCTACCGTCGAATTCCCAAACGACATTGGTGAGTCATATAGCAGCACGGGTATACAGGCACAACACGCCTTTCCCCACTCGTGTTCCCCAGTTCGCCGTAAGATCAAGGTAACTATCAGGTCGACTTAAAACTTAACCCTGTCTTTTCTCCCTCACTCTGTTCCTCTGTTCGTCGTCAGATTAAGGCCGTAGTGGACGGTGCGCTGCTGCTCTCAGGAGTGTGGCTGCTGCGAGGCGTCTTCGAGGTGAGATGCCGCTCTCAGCCTTTACCCCTCCCCCGCTCCTGTCGTTCGTGGCATTTACGGGTATGTTCGGAAGAGTATTCCCCTCCCCCATCTTCTGTTTTGTCTCTCCGTCCTTCTGTCCCTCATCGCGCATTTCTTCTTTTATCCCCCGCCGTGTCCACTCGCGATGTGTGTAAGTCCTCACCTCTTCGTCCGTCCCCTTCTTCCCCCGTCCGCCACTCACCAGGTCACGTGGCGACTGGGCTCCGTCGCGCTCCTCTCTCTCCTCCCCGCTCTCGGCGCCATGACTCTCATCTCCGCCACCAACGCTCCTCGCCAACCGCACTCTGCGCCTTTCTCCGCGCACCCGCGCGCTCCCGCGTTCGCCTCCGCCCCCCCTCCTTCTGCCCCGTTTCCGCCACCCCAGCGCCACCGCCAGCCTCCCTTTTCTGACGTTCAACCCGTCCCTGGTAGAGTCGCTTTCGTCGAAGCAGATTATAGCGCGTACAGGGATAACGCATCATGGGACGAGGGCGAGTGGTACAGGGCAGGGGAAGGAGTTGGGAGACGGAATGGGCGGTTTGAGCGGTGGGAGGAGGTGAGCGACGACGAGCTAGGATTCGGATATGCGTCGGACGGATATGCGTCGAACGGATATGGGTCGGATGGGGACAGCGAAAGTAGCCTGAACGGAGTAGCCAACGGAAGCAGCTTGAACGGAGCAGACGCAGAGAAGACTTCGAACCCTAGCATCGATTCGGGTGCTTATGTGTCGGCTGTTGCTCAATCCATTGGAGGAACCGTGGGTGATATTGAAGATCGGCCACCAGTGGCTGTCGATGTCAGTGCGTACGACCATAGCGAATCTGCCAAAGCTGCTTATGGCGCGGATGCTTTCCATTCTGTAAATGGTGCCACAGCTGCTGCTGCTGCTGGTGCTGCTGCTGCTGCTGGTGCCGCTGCTGCTGCGGCTGCCGAACATTCCAATGTACATAATTCTAGGAATGGTGTGCACATCATCGGCAGCAGCATGGACAGCAGGGGTATGCGCGTGTACGAGTGCTGCAACGGCACCTGCCCTGCATGTAGAACGCCCGCGTTCACCAAAGCAGTCCCCGGCAGGGATAGGGACATGAGTGGTGTGCACGGAGTTAATAGACCTGGCAGGGGCAGCGGGCATAATAGTGTGCCAAGGGTTGATAGAGCTGGAATGCTGATGGAGGAGGAAAGTGCTGCTGCAGGTGCAGGTGGCCGTGCAGGTGCAAGTTCAAATATGAAAGCATGGGACGAGGCCATTGTGACTAGTGCTCCGCCCCTTGTTCCTACTGACGGGTATGGTGCTCCTGCTGGTTCCACTGCTCACAGAAGCAGGGTTCTTCACGAGGTGCCCTCTGCTACCCATGTGTCGGACGGTTATTTTTCACCTATTCTAAGCGATTCTGCTGCTCATGCTGATGCGGCAAGGAGGCTGGGAGCCGTCCGATTGGACCTCAAACGCCACGTGGCTGCTGAAACCGCTCATTCTTCTGCTGCTCCTGCTGCTACAGCACCGCCTGCTGTTACTGCCCCAGCTGCCGTTGGCAATACGGCTAGGGTACCTGGTTTCCTTGACCCAGCGGCAACAGCAGCAGCGGAACCTGCAGCAGTAGGTCTCGGTGCAGAGGAGTGGAGATGGGAAGACGCGAGCAGAGAGGACGACATGAACCTGAACGCGGTCTTCCTCGAGAATTTCTGCGAATGGCCGCGCAAGCGCGTTGCTGTGGCCGCTTCTGGGACGAGGGCAGACCCTCCTTACCGGTCGGATAGGGTGGGGCGGGCGGACAGGGCGGACCGGGTGGGGCCTGGTGTGGGGAGAGCAGGTGCGGGAGGCGAGATCAGGGCGGCGGCTAGCAGGGCGGCGCCTGTGAGTGCGAGTGGTGGTGTGCAGCCAGGGCAATGGGATGTGCACAGCAATGTGGTGGGAGGAGAGAGAGGAGACATGGGGCAGGAGAGCAAGAAGAGTGTTCCTGGGGGGTCTGGCTTGGGCCTGAGTCTGGACTCGTTTGGGTTGGATTCGCTGGGGCTGGATGCGCTGGGGTTTGACGCGTGGCAGGCGTTCATGTGGGCGTCTGACAGGATCTACGGCAGCAGCTATGGGGACTATAGCTTCCACCGCAGGCAGGAGGGCGCTGGGGGAGCGGGGGGAGTAGGGGGAGCAGGGGGGGCTGGCGGGGAAAGGGGACAAGGGCTGCTGGGAGAGAAACGAGGGCAGCAGCAGGCAGGGCAGGGGGGCTTGTCTGGCAGCAGGAGGGGCATGCCTGGCTGGGGTATGGGAGGTGTGGGTGTGGGGGAGATGGGGGGAAAGGGAAGTATGCCTTTGACGGTTTTCATAGGAGAGAGACAGCAAGGAGGTGGTTGGCCCAGCAGCAGACGGCGGGGGATGCGCTCAGAGTGGGACTTTGACCTGAATAGCATGCCGTGATGTGGCACCACCACAGTGTGCTGAGATGTGCTGTGCCCCTGCCACAGCATGCCATGATGTGGTCCCACGCATGCTATGATGTGCCCCCACCATAGCATACCATGATGTGGCCCCACCACATGCGGATGTGTGTGCTGGATGTGCCCCAGCATGCATGCATGATGTCCTCCCGGTCTTCCACCATAGCACGGCATTGGCATGGCTTTATGATATGCTAGTAGCTACCTTGGCTGCTTCATGGATGCAGGTTACTTGGTTACACATGGGTATGCCGTATACGTAGGAGGCTCACTCCAAAAGCATTGCTCGTTTTTGGGACTCAAGTCAGGTGGTTTGCACCAGTTTGGGTGGAATCTGGTAGGCAACAATATTTTTAGTATAGTGCGCTGGACAGTTGATACTGCTCTTCATTTGTTCATCTTCTGCATGTAGCAGATCTGGAGACTTGTAATTGCCGTGTAAATGTGATTTTTTATAGCATCTGATTTCTATGAGAATTTTAACATATATTCAAGACGAGCTTTTACTGTACATATATCCCGAAGTGCCTTTCCCGCAATCTCACATCACTGGCCCAATCTCGAGGGATGCAATTGCCGAGGCACTTTTTGTCAGTTCAGTGGTCAGGTGTCAGGCTAGGCGGGGCCAAGCCAAGTCATTGCTACATTTGCTACAGTCACCACCGCTCACAAAAAAATTCTGGGCTCTTTCGCCGAAAATAGCTCAGCGGACAAGCGAGTCCGCCCGGGGGAGCTCGCTGCCCGCGGGCAAAAAAAATAAACCCCAGACGGGCATGCATCCGGTCAGGGAGCCTCAACAGAAGAAGGTATTTCCAAGATGTCTTCTGCTTCGGGGCCATTTTCAGGTGCAATCTCTATAGTACAGAAAATGTGTTAAGGTGCGATCCCAATCTGTTACGGCACTGTTGTGGCACTGTACACACGTGCCGCAACAGTACCTTCTGCAGACTCGCCACGCACATCTTGTTCAGCTGACGGAAGTCAAACATACAGCATGGCCAGACCAAACTACCCGAAGCTGTTAAGGCCACCCGAAAAAAACAAAAAAAACCCCTAGAGAACCTGGAAGCAGTTTCGGTAGGGATCGACCCTAAACACCGGAACCTATCGAGTGTTTAGGGTTGATGCCTCCCGATTCGATTGCGTCCCGATTGGGTTTTTTTTTTTTTTTTTGTCACGAAAACCTTACGGAGGCATCAACACCAGGAGTTCACGTGTTTAGGGTTGATCTCCCAAAAATGCTTCCAGGGTCATTAAAGCGTTTAAGTTTAATAATTTGGGGTATGTCTTAGCAATTCCTGGTAGCCTCGGTAACGAAGCGTGTGTGGCGCATTAATTTCCCATCAGTTTCCCTCAGCCAGTACAGATTTGAGTGGCGTATCTTTTCAAGGCTCTGTTCCGGCACGCGTGTACAGTACGCAACAGAGACTTGGAAAGATACGCCGGGATCGCACCTGAACTCATTTCCCCAATTGTAGAGATTGCACCTGAAAATGGCCCTCTGCTTCGCATCCACCAGCCTCCAGCAATGTCTAGTGCATACGCGAAACCAGTACTCTCGTTACGCGTCGACGCCAATGAGAATAGTCGTACCGTATCCCACCGTACCGACTTCGTTTTGTCAAGTCACTAATCTGGACGCGTTTTAAGCAGTATCGATTGCAACATGGCGTCGAGCGGGGGAGGAAGCGGAGGCGGTAGGCCGCTCGCTTTCTTAGAAGACATGAATCTTCCCGCGCCGGAAGCTGCGGAGGAAGGTCGGGGGGGAGCCTTTTCCGCGCAGCCGCTTCCGCATGCAGTTTCCGCCGCTCCCCCAGCCATTTCTGCGCAGCCCATGGCCAATGCGCCGTCCGCGCAAACTCCGCTCGCGCCGGCGCCGTTCTTCGCGCAGCCTCCCCCGTCCGCCGTTGCGCCGTATCCTGCTCGACCGTCCGCGTATCCCGCAACAACAGCAGCCACCCCGCTACTGTCCATCCCCGCATCCTTTCCGCCCGCTTATTCCATGCAATCCGCTTCCGCCGGTTCCGCTCTTCCCGCTTCCGCATTTTCCGCTTCCGCTACCGGAATGATACAGTCACAGCAGCAGCAACAGCAGCAGCAACAGCAGCAGCAGCAGATGCAACCAGGTCCGCAGATATTCCAGCAGCAACCGGCGCAGTTTCAGGCGCAATGTCAGGGAGGGACGATGCAGTACCAGCAGCAGCCGCAGCCGCCGCAACAACAATCGCAGCAGCAGCAGCCGCAGTTTTTCCCACAGCCGAGTCAGTACCAGCAGCAGCTGCAGGGTTCGCAGTATCAGGCTCAGCCGCAGCAGGCACAGCAGCAGCAGTTTTTGCAAGTACCATACCAACAGCAACAACAGCAACAGCAGCAGCAGCAGCAGCAGAAGCAGCAGCAGCAACAGCCTGGAACCGTATGGGCCGGCACGCCAGGACAAGGAAGCACTGTAGCGATGGGCGGTCAGAGCACTGTAGCAATGGGCGGCCAAGGCAGTGCAGGCATGGTGGGTCACAGTGTGTCTGGCATGAGGCCTCTTCCCATGCTAGGCGGCCAATTGCTATCCCACCTCTCCTCCACCGCTCCCCAACTATCTGCTAACCTAATCCGCTCCCCACAGCCCCCCTTCCCACTTGCTTTCCCCTCTACCTCCGCTCCCCCTAGCTCCGCTCTGCTTCCCTCCCATATGCATTCTGGCTTCCCCCCCGCCTTTCAGCAAGCGGGAACTTTGGTGCCGAACCAAGCGCCAAACCAGCCCATGGCTTGGCAGCAGTATGCCCCTGTGGTAGGCCAATCAGGGCAGTCCACGTCAGCAGGGCAGTCCACGGCGATTCCTCTTCTAGGGCAAGGATTGGTCTCTCTTCCTTTTCTGGGCAATGTAACAGCCGGCACAGTAACGCATAGCACTGTAGCGGGTACTGTAGCACCGGTTGTAGCTGCTCCTACCTCTGCTGCTACAACTGGTCTTCTCTGCATGCCTTCTGCTGCACCACCAGCACCAGCACCATCAGCAGCAACAGCACAAGCAGCTGCGAGCAAACCAGCAGCAGCGTTTGCAGGGCTGGATTTGAACGCCTGTCCGGATGACGTCTCCTCCCTCTCCTCGCCCACGTCCCTCGCTGCAACTGCTGCTGCCAATGCGGATGCCACTGCTGCTACAGCCACCACTGCAGCCGCCACTGCAGCTGCCGCCGTGACCGCTAACTCAGTCACATCCCCGCCTGCTGCTGGATACAGCGCTCCTCCTCCCATGCCCTTTCCTCCTCCTGCTACAGCTGCTCTCACGAGTTCGGCTGTAGCAGCCACCAAAGGCGCCGTTGCTACAGACGGGGTGAGAGGCCCCATGGGGCTGGTCCTGCCGCCTCTGTATAACGTTCCCCCCTTGGGAACTGGCGCTCACTATAGCAATGCCATGGCACCAGCAGCAGCAGCAGCAGCAGCGCCCATGACAGGAGCACCACAGTATAGCGTTCCGATGGGCCCAGGCGTGCCTGTGACTGCGCCCCGTCCCATGGCACCCCAGCTTGTTCCACCACCCCATGCCACTCCCCACGTGCCTCCACCGCTCCTTACCACGCCCCATGTGCCTCCACCACTCCATACCACGAGTCACTCAGCCGCGGCACACTCACACGCCCAGCACATGCGCACAGGCCCGCCCCATCTGCTCTCCATGCCGCCCGCGCTGCACGCTGTGCCGCCCGTCTCTGCCGCCCTTGGTGCTCCTGCCACCCCTGTTGCTCCTCATTCTGCTGTTCAATCCGCATCCACTGCTTCTGCTGCTGCTGCTGCCAGTGGCGTGTCAGCAGGAGGAGAGGCAGGTGATGGCGCTGGCGCTGCTGACAGTGGCGCTGCTGGTGGTGGTGCTGCTGCTGGTGGCGGTGGTGGTTTTGGGTTTGAGTTGGATTTGAATGCGCCATTAGACGACGACGAAGAAGCTGATGCTCAAGGAAAAAGCGAAGCCCAGTTTGAAGCTAAAACACAAGGTGAAATTGAGATGGAAAGAGCAGCTGGTGCTGGGGATGACTCAGCGCGAGGTGGTGCTGACTCAGGCCGGGACCACAGCACGGTCACTGATGCGAGCGGTGCTGCTGTGAGTGGTGCGGGCGAAAGAGGGGTGGGAGGAGGGAGTAAGGTGGAAGGAGTGGGTGGGGCGGAGGGGAAGGGCGCGGGGAAGGGAGGGAAGGAATCAAGTAGTCCCAGGAGGGATTTCCTACATGATCTCAATATGACTCAGGAGGAGGGGGAGGTGGGGCAGGGCGAGAGGGAGGGAGGACGGGAAGAGGGGAGCGAGAGAGGGGTGGCGGGCAGGCAGGGAAGGGGAGATGATGGGAGAAGGAAGGGGTTTATGGTGGATATGAATATGGCTTTGGATGGGGAGGAGGGCGGGGAGGAAGGGAGTGTGGGGAGTGCGGCGGGGAGTGAGGGGGTGGAGAGCGCGGGGATGGAGAGTGAGAAGGTGGAGAGTGTGGGGGTACCTGGTAGAAACGAAGAAGGGGAGTGGGAGGTTAGGGGAGAATGGGAGAGGAGGGAGGAGAGGGGCATGGAGGAGGTGGGTGAAGCAGGCGAGGGGAGTGGAGGGGAGAGGCAGGAGGGCGAGGGGGGTGCAGTAGAGGAGGGAGAGGCGAAGGAGGAGGAGGCGGAGGAGGAGATGGGGGTGGTGGGGCTGCTGGGCCTTGCAGAGGCTCTGGAAGGAATGGCTGCTGGTGATGATGGTGGTGGTGGTGGTGGTAGTGATGGTGATGGTTGCTGCTGCTGCTGTGGCTGCTGCTGCTGCTGGTGCTTCTGGCAGTGCTGCTGGTGCTGATGGTGGTGCTGTGGCTTCTAGTGCTGCTGGTGCTGAGGTGGCTGCTACTCCTGCTGCTCCGTCTTCTGCTCTCCCTCTCTCCTCCACCATCCCTGCTGCCACCGCAGCTGCTGCTGCTGCTGCTGCTGCTGCTGCTGCTGCTGGGGAGACCTCACCTGGTGCCCCTTCTTCTGCCTCTCCTCTTTCTGCCTTGGGAGCGGAATTCGTGGACAGTGCAGCGGCTAATGCAGTGGCAGAGGCTAATGTGGGGGTACAAGGGGCAGCTTCACAGGGGGAAGCAGAGGTGGGCGTGAAGGGAGGCAAGCAGGGGGGCGAGGAGGGGGAAAAGCCAGGAGGAGTAGAGGGGGCGGAGGGAGGCACAGTTGCAGGTGCAGGGGTTGGCGGAGGGAAGAGGGGGAAGAGAGGCACGGGAGAGGGGGAAACGGGGGGCAGGGAGGGGAGAGAAGGGAAGGAGAAGGGGAAGAGGAGGAGGAAAGAAGGGCGACCCTCATCAGTGCCAGGGGGGACTGGCACAGGTGGTAGGGAGGCTGATGGTAGGGAGGCTGCTGGTAGGGAGGCTGCTGGTAGGGAGGCGGGCAGTACAGAGGAAGGTGCTAGGGAGGCTGGTAAGGAGATGGGTGTGGGAGAAGGGGGTGGGCCAGGGGTAAGCGGTGGTGCAGGTGGTGTGGCAGGAGGGGTGGTGGGAGGCGTGGGTGGTGTGGGTGTGGTGCAGAGGGGTGCAAAGAGAGCGAAGGTGGGGGAGGTGGGGGGTGAAAGGGGTGTGGAAGAGGGAGAAGCGGTTGGGAGGGGTGCAGTGGGAGCAGAAGCCGAAGAGGGGGCGGAGGGCACTGTAGGTGCCCATGTTGCTGTGGCATCTGCTGCTGTTTCCGCAGCTCATTCTGCCCCTGCTGTTGCTGCTGCTCCTGCCTCTGCTCCCGCTACTGCTACTGCTCCTTCTGCTACTGCTCCTCCTCCTGCTGCTGCTCCTTCTGCCGCTGCTCCTTTTCCCCCTCCTGCTGCTTCAGTGGGCAAGGAGGAAAAGGCAGTGAAGCGAGAGGAGAGCACTGGCAGAGAGGAAGGGAGGAGCAGGGAGGAGGCAGAGGAGGCGAGGGAGGTGAAGAGGAGGAGGGAGAGGGGGAGGAGGAGGAGCAGATGAGGGAGAGGGAGAGGGAGGAGGAGGGGAAGAGGGAGAGGGAGAGGGAGGAGGAGGGGAAGAGGGAGAGGGAGAGGGAGAGGGAGAGGGAGAGGGAGAGGGAGGAGGAGGAGGAGTTGGTTGCGGCGATAGTGGGAAGACGGCTGACCGCCCTGCCTCCATTCAGCAAGGCAGAAGGTGAGATGGTGGGAAGGGATGGGATATTTGCTGCATCCTCTCTCTCTCTCTCCGTCTCTGCTCCTTTTGAGACGCCTCAAAACATCCTCTCTCTCCGTCTCTGCTCCTTTTGAGACGCCTCAAAACATCCTCTCTCTCCGTCTCTGCTCCTTTTGAGACGCCTCAAAACATCCTCTCTCTCCGTCTCTGCTCCTTTTGAGACGCCTCAAAACATCCTCTCTCTCCGTCTCTGCTCCTTTTGAGACGCCTCAAAACATCCTCTCTCTCTGCCTCTGCTCCTTTTGAGACGCCTCAAAACCTCCTCTCTCTCCGTCTCTGCTCCTTTTGAGACGCCTCAAAACATCCTCTCTCTCCGTCTCTGCTCCTTTTGAGACGCCTCAAAACATCCTCTCTCTCCGTCTCTGCTCCTTTTGAGACGCCTCAAAACATCCTCTCTCTCTGCCTCTGCTCCTTTTGAGACGCCTCAAAACCTCCTCTCTCTCCGTCTCTGCTCCTTTTGAGACGCCTCAAAACATCCTCTCTCTCCGTCTCTGCTCCTTTTGAGACGCCTCAAAACATCCTCTCTCTCCGTCTCTGCTCCTTTTGAGACGCCTCAAAACATCCTCTCTCTCCGTCTCTGCTCCTTTTGAGACGCCTCAAAACATCCTCTCTCTCCGTCTCTGCTCCTTTTGAGACGCCTCAAAACATCCTCTCTCTCCGTCTCTGCTCCTTTTGAGACGCCTCAAAACATCCTCTCTCTCCGTCTCTGCTCCTTTTGAGACGCCTCAAAACATCCTCTCTCTCCGTCTCTGCTCCTTTTGAGACGCCTCAAAACATCCTCTCTCTCCGTCTCTGCTCCTTTTGAGACGCCTCAAAACATCCTCTCTCTCCGTCTCTGCTCCTTTTGAGACGCCTCAAAACATCCTCTCTCTCCGTCTCTGCTCCTTTTGAGACGCCTCAAAACATCCTCTCTTTCCGTCTCTGCTCCTTTTGAGACGCCTCAAAACATCTCCTCTCTCTCTCCGTCTCTGCTCCTTTTGAGACGCCTCAAAACATCCTCTCTCTCCGTCTCTGCTCCTTTTGAGACGCCTCAAAACATCCTCTCTCTCCGTCTCTGCTCCTTTTGAGACGCCTCAAAACATCCTCTCTCTCCGTCTCTGCTCCTTTTGAGACGCCTCAAAACATCCTCTCTCTCCGTCTCTGCTCCTTTTGAGACGCCTCAAAACATCCTCTCTCTCCGTCTCTGCTCCTTTTGAGACGCCTCAAAACATCCTCTCTCTCCGTCTCTGCTCCTTTTGAGACGCCTCAAAACATCCTCTCTCTCCGTCTCTGCTCCTTTTGAGACGCCTCAAAACATCCTCTCTCTCCGTCTCTGCTCCTTTTGAGACGCCTCAAAACATCCTCTCTCTCCGTCTCTGCTCCTTTTGAGACGCCTCAAAACATCCTCTCTCTCCGTCTCTGCTCCTTTTGAGACGCCTCAAAACATCCTCTCTCTCCGTCTCTGCTCGTTTTGAGACGCCTCAAAACATCCTCTCTCTCCGTCTCTGCTCCTTTTGAGACGCCTCAAAACATCCTCTCTCTCCGTCTCTGCTCCTTTTGAGACGCCTCAAAACATCCTCTCTCTCCGTCTCTGCTCCTTTTGAGACGCCTCAAAACATCCTCTCTCTCCGTCTCTGCTCCTTTTGAGACGCCTCAAAACATCCTCTCTCTCTCTCCGTCTCTGCTCCTTTTGAGACGCCTCAAAACATCCTCTCTCTCCGTCTCTGCTCCTTTTGAGACGCCTCAAAACATCCTCTCTCTCCGTCTCTGCTCCTTTTGAGACGCCTCAAAACATCCTCTCTCTCCGTCTCTGCTCCTTTTGAGACGCCTCAAAACATCCTCTCTCTCCGTCTCTGCTCCTTTTGAGACGCCTCAAAACATCCTCTCTCTCCGTCTCTGCTCCTTTTGAGACGCCTCAAAACATCCTCTCTCTCCGTCTCTGCTCCTTTTGAGACGCCTCAAAACATCCTCTCTCTCCGTCTCTGCTCCTTTTGAGACGCCTCAAAACATCCTCTCTCTCCGTCTCTGCTCCTTTTGAGACGCCTCAAAACATCTCCTCTCTCTCTCCGTCTCTGCTCCTTTTGAGACGCCTCAAAACATCCTCTCTCTCCGTCTCTGCTCCTTTTGAGACGCCTCAAAACATCCTCTCTCTCCGTCTCTGCTCCTTTTGAGACGCCTCAAAACATCCTCTCTCTCCGTCTCTGCTCCTTTTGAGACGCCTCAAAACATCCTCTCTCTCCGTCTCTGCTCCTTTTGAGACGCCTCAAAACATCCTCTCTCTCCGTCTCTGCTCCTTTTGAGACGCCTCAAAACATCCTCTCTCTCCGTCTCTGCTCCTTTTGAGACGCCTCAAAACATCCTCTCTCTCCGTCTCTGCTCCTTTTGAGACGCCTCAAAACATCCTCTCTCTCCGTCTCTGATCCTTTTGAGACGCCTCAAAACATCCTCTCTCTCTCTCCGTCTCTGCTCCTTTTGAGACGCCTCAAAACATCCTCTCTCTCCGTCTCTGCACCTTTTGAGACGCCTCAAAACATCCTCTCTCTCCGTCTCTGCTCCTTTTGAGACGCCTCAAAACATCCTCTCTCTCTGCCTCTGCTCCTTTTGAGACGCCTCAAAACATCCTCTCTCTCCGTCTCTGCTCCTTTTGAGACGCCTCAAAACATCCTCTCTCTCCGTCTCTGCTCCTTTTGAGACGCCTCAAAACATCCTCTCTCTCCGTCTCTGCTCCTTTTGAGACGCCTCAAAACATCCTCTCTCTCCGTCTCTGCTCCTTTTGAGACGCCTCAAAACATCCTCTCTCTCCGTCTCTGCTCCTTTTGAGACGCCTCAAAACATCCTCTCTCTCCGTCTCTGCTCCTTTTGAGACGCCTCAAAACATCCTCTCTCTCCGTCTCTGCTCCTTTTGAGACGCCTCAAAACATCCTCTCTCTCCGTCTCTGCTCCTTTTGAGACGCCTCAAAACATCCTCTCTCTCCGTCTCTGCTCCTTTTGAGACGCCTCAAAACATCCTCTCTCTCCGTCTCTGCTCCTTTTGAGACGCCTCAAAACATCCTCTCTCTCCGTCTCTGCTCCTTTTGAGACGCCTCAAAACATCCTCTCTCTCCGTCTCTGCTCCTTTTGAGACGCCTCAAAACATCCTCTCTCTCCGTCTCTGCTCCTTTTGAGACGCCTCAAAACATCCTCTCTCTCCGTCTCTGCTCCTTTTGAGACGCCTCAAAACATCCTCTCTTTCCGTCTCTGCTCCTTTTGAGACGCCTCAAAACATCTCCTCTCTCTCTCCGTCTCTGCTCCTTTTGAGACGCCTCAAAACATCCTCTCTCTCCGTCTCTGCTCCTTTTGAGACGCCTCAAAACATCCTCTCTCTCCGTCTCTGCTCCTTTTGAGACGCCTCAAAACATCCTCTCTCTCCGTCTCTGCTCCTTTTGAGACGCCTCAAAACATCCTCTCTCTCCGTCTCTGCTCCTTTTGAGACGCCTCAAAACATCCTCTCTCTCCGTCTCTGCTCCTTTTGAGACGCCTCAAAACATCCTCTCTCTCCGTCTCTGCTCCTTTTGAGACGCCTCAAAACATCCTCTCTCTCCGTCTCTGCTCCTTTTGAGACGCCTCAAAACATCCTCTCTCTCCGTCTCTGCTCCTTTTGAGACGCCTCAAAACATCCTCTCTCTCCGTCTCTGCTCCTTTTGAGACGCCTCAAAACATCCTCTCTCTCCGTCTCTGCTCCTTTTGAGACGCCTCAAAACATCCTCTCTCTCTCTCCGTCTCTGCTCCTTCTTCTTCCCCCCTCTCCCATCTCCCTTCTCTCCCGCATTCGCTCTCTCCTGCTTTTCCTCTCACCTCGCCCGCTCCCTCATCCCACCCATCCGTCAACCCCCACCCGCATTCCCACCTCTTCCCACCTCCCCACCCCGCCAGGACTCGATCTCCTCGACCTGGTGTGGTCAGCCCATGCTCGCAACGACCTGCCCTCTCTCGACGCGCTGCGCGCCACCTCTTCTCACCACTTCCCACCTCTTCCCACCTCCCCATGCCCCAGGACTTGATCTCTTCGACCTGGTGTGGTCAGCACATGCTTGCAGCGACCTCTCTTCACTAGACACTCTGCTCGCACAGACCATCGCCCTCTGCCATCGCCACATGGCCTTCCACCTTAACTCCCCTCCCCTCTTCCCATCCCGTCCAGGACTCGACCTGCTCGACCTGGTGTGGTCAGCCCATGCTCGCAGCGATCTACCCTCTCTCGATGCTCTGCTCGCCCAGACCATCGCCCTCTGCCATCGCCACATGGCTTTCCATGCCGCTGCTGTCTCTGCTGGTCCCTCCTCGCTCTCCCTCGCACACGCCTCCCCCGCCGCCACCGCTGCTGCCCTTGCATCGGCCCGCTACCACTACTGCTCGCTCGCGTTTGTTTCCAAGAAGCTTCCTGAAGCCTTTGGTCTGCGGCGCACCAGGGAGGTGAGAGGGGGAAGGGGGAGAGAGAGGTGTGTGGGGTGAGGGAGAGAAGGGAAAGGGAATCTGCCAATGCTTCAGCGCATGCCTCTGCCCATGTCAGAATCACCCCTCCTTCCTCCACGTCCTTTCTCTTCTTCCTTCATCCACTTTCCCCCAGGCGCTCCTGTCAGTGCTGATGGCACCAGATGCAGACGACACAAACGGTTTTTGAGGCATCTGGAAATTCAGATTCATCTTTCTGTCTGCTGTTTCCCCACTCCACTTCCCTCTCCCACCTGCTTCCTCTGCTCCCCCAGGCGCTCCTATCAGTGCTGATGGCACCAGATGCAGACGACACAGGCGCACCAGGAGGGGCGGACCGAGCAGGCGGAGGAGGATCAGGAGGACCGGGAGGAGGAGGAGGAGGTGCGGGAGGAGGAGGGGGGGAGAGGGCGTCACGGAAGGCCACACCATCTCTCCTACAGGCACTTTCCTGCCGCCTGCTGCTGCGCGCCTTTGCTGCTCGCCCCCGCTGGCCCGTCGCCTTCATAGAGGTACCTTGAGCCTGTTTCGAGATTAGACGTGTCTCGTTAGAGGAGCCTGTTTGGATTAACTGCCCGAATCCAAACTCCACTGGCTTGCCATTGCCAGGTACAGGTACTGGCTTTTCCACTGGTACTCTTGGTAGACCAACCTGCTGCCACCCCATCCCTTTTCGCCGGCCTGCCTGCCTGCCTGCCTGCCTGCCTGCCTGCCTACCTGCCTGCCTGCTTGCCTGCCTGCCTGCCTGCCTGCTTGCCTGCCTGCCTGCCTCCTCCCGTCTCTCGCTTGCAGCCTCCTCTCTTGCCCGTTGCACCTCCCCTTACTTCCAGGCCTATCGCAGTGATGCCTGTGGCCCGCGCCACTGGGTGGACCTGACCTGGACACATGCAGGGACTTCGTCTCTGCCATCTCTGCCTGCCTGCCTGCCCCACTCCCTTGTCTCCTTCGCAAACTATGCTCCCACCTCTGCCCCTCCCCTCTGCCCCTAATCTGTTTTGCCAGGCCTACCTCAGCGATGCCTGTGGTCCACGGCACTGAGTAGACCTGGACACCTGCAGGGACTTCGCCTCTGCCATCTCTGCTTGCCTGCCAACCTTATTGTCCACCTCTGCCCCTCCCCTGCCGTCCCTCTACCCCTCCCCTGCCCTGCCAGGCCTATTTGAGCGATGCCTGTGGGCCACGGCACTGGGTAGACCTGGACTCCTGCAGGGACTTTGTCTCTGCCATCTCTGCTTGCCTGCCCCACTCCCTCGTCGCCCCCCCCCCCGCCCTGCTCCGCCCTCCCGCTGCCGCCGCACCTGCTGCTGCTGCTGCTGCTGCTGCTGCTGCCACTGGTCGTGCTGCTGCTGGTCCTGGTGGTGCTGCTGCATCTAAGATTTCGGCTGCAGCTGATTCGGCAGAATCTGGGGGAAAAGGGCTGAAGGGGAGGGCAGGAGCAGGGGGGCCTCCTCGCTCCCCTGCTGTCAGCACTAGCAGCGTTGGCGGGGGGAGCGTGAGCGGTGGTGCTGCTGCAAAGAAAGGGGTGAGTGGAATAAGCAGATAAGTGTAGGGCTCAATGGTGCACCAGACACTTTGAATGCTCCCCCCCGCCTCTTCCTCTCGCCTCCACATTTGATTTCTGCTTTGAGATTTCCCGTGCCTCACTTTCCCATGTCCTTCTTCCGTGATCCCGTTGTAGCCACGTGTAGCGAGGGTGTTTTTGAGACGTCTCAAAAACACCCTCGCTACACGTGGCTGACTTTCCCATGCCCTTTTTCCGTGATCCCGTTGACCCTTCTTCTTCTGCCTTACCCCTGTTTGACATCTCCGCCTCCTCTCCTCCCTCTCCCTCTTTCAATCTCCCCCAGGCGTCAGACACTGCCACGTCATCAGAGAGGCTCGGAAGTGCCAACCTGGATCGGTTTGGAGGTTCGGAGACCGAGGCTGAGATAGAGCGGCTGTTTGTGGGCAGCATTCAGCGAATGGTCAGCTCCGGTAGCAGCAGAGAGAATCCAAGGCACCTCATCAGGTGCGTGGGTAGCAGGCATGGGATAGGTTCGGATATCAAGTGGTGGGATGCGGTGGGGAGGCAGGCGTGGGTGGTTGTGAGGAATAAGGCATGCATTCAGCGGATGATCAGCTCTGGGAGCAGCTGGGAGAATCTGAGGCACCTCATCAGGTGCGTGGGCGGCAGGCATGGGACAGGGTCGGATGTCTCAAGTGGTGGGAGGCGGTTGGGAGGCAGGCGTGGGTGGTTCTGGGGAGTACGACACACATTCAGCGAATGGTCAGCTGCGGTAGCAGCAGAGAAATTTTGAGTTACCAACGCATTTTCCCCTTCCCATCCCCCTTCCATTCTCATTTCAACCCCAGGTTGCTGGTGCTGGGAGCAGGGTACCCTTCGGTGAGGGTGCAGGCAGCATCTCTCCTCCCACCGTGGCTCTCCTCTACTCTGCACGCCCGCTCTGCTCGCCTGCTGCTTGAAAGAGTCATAGCTCTTACACAAGGCACCACTGCTGCTGACTGGCGCACCTTAGAGCACCTGCTCAGCATCAAGGTGAGTGCGCGATGTGATGTGGTGAAGTTGGGAGGAAAGGGTGCAGCGTATGAGCGGGCGGTGCAGCGTATGAGCGGGCGGTGCAGCGTATGAGCGGGCGGTGCAGCGTATGAGCGGGCGGTGCAGCGTATGAGCGGGCGGTGCAGCGTATGAGCGGGCGGTGCAGCGTATGAGCGGGCGGTGCAGCGTATGAGCGGGCGGTGCAGCGTATGAGCGGGCGGTGCAGCGTATGAGCGGGCGGTGCAGCGTATGAGCGGGCGATGCAGCGTATAAGCTTTCTACCTGGGGGGAATGCGAGAGGAGTCGACGCTGCCCTGGGGGACTGTGAGGGGAGTCGTCACATGCCCGCCCCTCACATGCCCCTCACATGCCCCTCACATGCCCCTCACATGCCCCTCACGTGCCCCTCACATGCCCCTCACATGCCATGTGTGTATGCACAGGCAAAGGGGTCAACACAGGGAGGCAGCACACTGCCGTTAGTGGCTCATGTTGTCAACATGCTCATCAGATGCTCATCACATGCTCATCACATGCTCATCACATGCTCATCACATGCTCATCACATGCCCATCACATGCTCATCAACATGCTGATCACATGCCCCTTACACGCAACTCATATGCCATCCTTGCCATGCATGTGCCATGTGTGTGTGCAGGCAAAGGGGTCGCAGCAGGGAGGCAGCACGTTGCCGATGGAGATAGCGGCGCAGATCGTCAACATCCGCCCCGAATACGCTGCATTCGTCATCAAGGTGACTTCGCTGATCCATGCCATGCCATTCCATGGCAGTTCATGCCCGTACATGCCACTCTCAAAGTCATTTTGTGCCTTGTCGCATGCCCTCCTGGCTGGGAGGGGGCTGGGAGTTTTCAGGCTGATGGGCTGGAAGGAACAGGAAAGATTCGTTTTTGTGAGTCAAGTAACGCTCCCCTTCCACTCCTTGTGTTCCCGTTCTCATCTCTCCCAGACGCTTTTGCTGTGGGAGATTCGGAAAGAGTCACCCCATCACATGCGAGTGCTCGCAGCAGCAGTCAGGGCGATGACTGGGCGGGGTGAAGGGGAGGGGACGGAGGGTGCGGGGGGGGAGGGAGAGGAGGAAGGAAGGGAAGGGAGGAACGGAGGGGAAGGAAGGGAAGGGAAGGGGCGAGGGGAGGGAAGGGAAGGGAGGGAAGGAGAGGGAAAGGAAGAGGAGTGATGGGGTGGGGGTGGTGGAAGATACAGCAGGGGCGGAGGGGAGGGAGAAGGGTGAAGGGAAAGAGAAGGTGGAGGGGAAAGAGAAGGCAGAGGGGAAAAGGGGGATGGAGGGAAGGGAGAGGACGTGGAGGGTGTATCCTGAGGTGGAGATTGGCAGAGTGCTGCAGGTGAAGCCAGAAACCCCCTCCTCCTTCCTACTCCTCTCTCCTTTCCCCACTGTTATCTCTCTTCCCCCCCTCCTCTGCACTACATCAGAAGTTTTCAGTGAACCCATTCCTCTTGTCTCAAACCCTCCCGTTACCTACTCCTCTCTCCCTTACCCCAGTTCGCTCTCTTCCCCCCCTCCCCTGCACTACATGACAAGTTCTCAGTGAACTTATCCCTCTCGCCTCAAACTCACACCCTCTCTCCTTCCCTACTTCTCTCTTCCCCTCTCCTCTCTCTCCCCCCCTCCGCTGTCCATCATCAGGAGTTTGCAGTGGATCCATCGCTCGACCCCCACCTCCCATCCTCCCCACCCGCACCTGTCTGATCCCCTCGCTTGCCTTTCTCACTTACCCTGCCCTTCCGCTCCCCTGTCCTTCCCCTTCCCTCTGCCCGTTCCTCCCCTCCTCTGTCCTTCCCCCTTCCTCCCCCCCTCCGCTGTCCGCCATCAGGAGTTCGCAGTGGACCCAACGCTCAACCCGCACCTCCCAGCCCTCTCTTCCCCACCTGTCTAACGTCCGTCTCTTGTCCGTCCCCTTGTCTTTGCACCCTCTCCACTGTTTCCCCTGTCCCCTTCTTCCCCCCCCCCTCTCTCTGGCGGCCATCAGGAGTTCTCAGTGGATCCAACACTCAACCCGCACCTCCCAGCCCTCGCAACCAAGTAAGCTTCACCAGGCACTCATGTGTCTGCTGTGCCAACCACGCTGCTGCTTCGCCCATCCACCAACCTGTATCGACACCTCTTCCATCCCTTGTCCCTCGCAGCCTCAGCCCTACCTTACCAGAGCACCCCTCCAAGCAGTCTTGCCTTGTCCCACCTCACTCCTCACAGTTCCCTCCCCCTTCTTTGCCTTCTTCTGGCCCCCACCCTCGAGGCTCCTCCGTGCTCTCTCTGGCCTGATAACGCCCCTGCACCTGTGTCGCCAGCTCTTCCATCCCTTGCTACTCGCAGCATCATCCCTGCCAGTAAGCCTTCGAGTAGACCCTGCTGCCCCCTCTTTCCCTGCCTTCTGTCTACCCCACCCTCCAGGCTCCTCCGTGCGCTCTCGGGCGTGATAACGCCCCTGCACCTGTGTCGGCAGCTCTTCCATCCCTTGCCACTCGCAGCCTCATCAGCCCTGCCAGAGCACCCCACTCCTCTCTCTCTCCTCTTCCATCCCCCCTGCTTTCTGCCCTCCCCCTGCCACTCGCAACCCCGCCCCGCCCCACCCCACAGGCTCCTCCATGCGCTCTCTGGTCTCATAACGCCCCTGCACCTGTGTCGCCAGCTCTTCCATCCCTTGCCACTCGCGGACTCAGCCCTCCCAGAGCACCTCCTAGCAGTCTTGCCTTGTCTCCTCACAGTCCCCTCCTCTTTCCCTGCCCACTGCCCAACCTCACCCACCAGGCTCCTGCGAGCTCTCACTGGCCTCATCACCCCGCTCCACCTGTGTCGGCAGCTCTTCCATCCCTTGCCACTCGCAGCCTCCGCTCTGCCAGAGCGCCTCCTCGTGCCTGCCTACTGCCGCCTCGCATCGCTCGTCCGCACTCTCCTGCTGCTGCACCTCTCTGCTGCTGCCTCAACTTGCTGCTGCTGCTGCTGCTGCTGCTGCCACTGCTGCTGGTGAACCTCCGTCAGCTCAGGGGGATGGCGCGATTGCTTCTGGCTGTGCTAGTGCACAAGGGCCGGTGCATGGGCAGGGGCATGCATACAGGCATGGGGAAGGGGATGAAGGGAGAGGGGAGAGACAGAGGGAAGGGGAGCAGGGGGAGCAGAACGAGCGGCTGACCAAAGCTCTCTTTGACGCAGCATGTGTGCAGGTATGTAGGTGCAAGCACTGCTGCATGCATGTGTGCGTGTATGTATGCGCGCTTGTGTGTGCATGGTGGTTCATAGGCTCTCGTTAATGCAGCATGCGTGCAAGTATGCAGCAGACTGGAGCAGCCTCTGCCCCTCGCACGTGCTGAACCTTCCCCCTTGCACACCTTCCCCCTTGCACACCTTCCCCCGCACGTGAGGGGGGAAGGTGTGCAAAGCAGACTGGAGTATAAGAGGCTGCTTTGCACACCTTCCCCCCTCACTATCCCCTCCCTCCCTGCCCCTCCCTCTCTGCCCCTCCCTCCCTGCCCTGCACAGACGGAGGCAGTGACCTGGTGTGCCACAGTGGTCGTAGCAGACTGCAGCACCCTCTGCTCCTCGCGCCTGACCTCTGCGCCTGCTGCTGCTGCTCCTCCTCCTCCTCCTGCTCGTCGTCCGGAACCTGCTTCTCACAAACTGCCTGCCTCTGAATCCCTTCCTCACTTACCACTACCTTGCTCCCTTCCCTCCTTCCCTCCCCAACAGACGGATGCAGTGACCTGGTGTGCCACGGTGGTGGCAGCAGACTGCAGCACCCTCTGCCCCTCGCACCTGCCCTCCGCACCTGCTGCTGCTTCTGCTGCTGCTCAGAAGCTTCAGCAGCAGCAGCAAGGGGTGAAGCAGGAGGAAGGGGAGGCAGTAGGAGCAGGGCCAGGGGCAACAGAGTCGGGGATACGTGCGAGTCAAATGGGTGCTGAGGGGTTCGGTGCGGTGGGGATCGGTGTGACCATCTTTGATCTGCTGCGCTGTGTGCTGTTCTTCGACCCCATCCCGGTATGTCACCAACCATTTCCGCAAGCCGTGCAGCTGAGCTGAAGAATAGCGAACTGAGTTGTTTGATTGCTGCTTCCTAGAGACGCATCAGTGGCTGGTTTGCGCGACTCAACACTTGGAACAATCAGGCCTGTGACCCGTCCCGTTGCAGGCTTCTTGTGATTTTTCTGCACTCAGGTTTCTTCTGATGACGGCCCATTACCAAGCTCTTGCCGTTGCTCCTTCTTCTTTGCATATCATGCTTCAGGAAGCTTCGTGGAGAGCGCATAAAGGAGAGGAGGGCAGTGGAAGAGTGAAGGATGATGGAGAGGAGAGGGTGACGACGACGGGGGGAGATGTGGAGGAAACGGAAGAGGAGGAGGAGGGAGAGAGAGTGGTGGAGACGTGGGGGCTGCCAGTGCTGGAAGAAACTTTAGCTTGGGTCATCCTGTTGGGAATATCTGTGAGTCCCTCTTGTCGCTGCATGTCTGCTGTAGGGGCGTTATGCGAATGCTCAGTGCTGCCGGTGCTGGAGACTTTACCTTGTGTCATTTTTTTGGGAACACCTGCAGAAATTGACTGATGCTCAAGTTGATTCAGGGACGAGGAACTGGGATAGGAACTAACCCTTACCTTATCATTACCCCCCCACACATCCCAACCTCCCAGTCCCCAGGCCCGGGGCAAGATGCGGCCATGCAAATGCTGCTGCATCTGCTGGTGCGAGCTGCTACAGTGCCCTCCCTCTGGGCGGGAAGGCTTGTCGTTTCTGGCCCTCAGGTTCGTACTTGTAACCCCGCTGCAACTCTCAGATTTTCTTTCCCCTCCTTGTAGCACTCTCCTTTCTCAAAACATTTTCACTCATTTAAAACATTCCCTCTTCAAAGCTCTCCTCATCGGCACTCCCTTTTCTCTGTCCTGCCTCTGCCTGGTCCTCCCACTCCCCCTTCTCCCCACCATCTCCTTCCATCCACTGCAAACCCCTTTACCCAACCACCCTGTCAACACCAACCATCGCGCTTCAGCTCACAGTCACACAAACATCTCCTTCCGAATAACCCCCCCTCTTCCACCCCCTTAAACGTCTTCACCCTCCCAAAACCCCTTCTCCCCCCCCCCCCGACCACCCCCCTCCATACTCCCCCCCCCTTCACCAGCTGTCAGCAGCGATTTTCAAGCTCGCTTCAGTGGTCCTGCCTGGCCCTCTCCTCGCCCTCCACCCACCACCACCAAAGCTGCTCTCTGCGCGCCGCTTCTGGCAGGCCTGCTGTACTGCTGTCCTCATCACCACGCTCTCTGCCTCGCCCCCCTCCCTGCTCTCTCCTCCTCCTGCTCCTCAACCTTCCTCTATTCCTCCCCCCTCTCCTCAACCTTCCTCCCTACCTCCTCCTCCTCCTCCTGCGTCTACTTCAAGTGGAAGCAGTAGTGGCTGCTTCTCATCATGCCAGTCGCCGACCGTGCAGCGCATGCTAGAAGCCCTCTTCATGCGCCATGTGCCATGCGTGTAAGTTGTTTACTGGGACACTGTCCATTCATGCATGCATGCATGCATGTGCTGTTGATGCCATTTCTGTACTGCTAGTCCCGTCGTGTCAGCCACCCACGGTGCAGCTCATGCTAGAAGCACTCTTCATGCACCATGTGCCATCCGTGTGAGTGGGGTGTAAGCAGGTCATCAGGGCATTGTCCCTTGGGCATCAGGGTGTAAGCAGGTCATCAGGGCATTGTCCCTTGGGCATCAGGGTGTAAGCAGGTCATCAGGGCATTGTCCCTTGGGCATCAGGGTGTAAGCATCATGCATGCATGCACTGTTGGTGCCACTGTCATGTCATCGTGCCAATTACCCATAGTTCAATTGCAAAATTTCCTCCTTTCTCCCCTCCACTCCCTCCCCTTTATCTGCCATGACAGCACCGAATCACAGCATGCCACGTGGCAGAAGCAAGCCGAGCATGACACCCGGGCCTCGGCCCTCCTGCGCCGCCTTCTCTCCTCCTCCCCGTCGCCTCCCATCAAGCAAGAAATTCACGAGACTGCTGGGCCAGAACTTGGAGCAACAGCAGCAGTGGGAGGAGAGGGAGGGGGCAGCAGGGCGGGAGCAGCAGGGGAAGGAGGAGGTGGGGGCAGCAGAGAGGGGGAAGAAGTACCAGCGGGGGGTATGGCGGAGGTACCTGTATGGCTGGAGGCGGAGATGGGGGAGGAGCTGCTGCTGCAGGAAGGGGAGGGGGAGGGGGAGGGGGAGGGGGAGGGCGCGGGGGAGCGGGGAGGAGGAAGGGGGGAGAAGCAGGGGAAAGAGGGCTCAGGGTTGGAGGGTGGAACGGGTGGAACGGGTGGAACGGGTGGGGGGAGGGGGGCGGGTGCGGGGGCAGGGACAGGGGTGGGGGAGAGGCAAGAGCGGATGGGGCGGTATGTGCCGGAGGAGGTGTGGGAGGTGGTGTGGGCGTGGGACAGGCAGTTTGGGCTGGGGCGGCTGTTGAGGCACGCCTTTGGCGCCTCGGCTCTGGAAGGGCTCATACACTCACAGGTGAGAGCGAGAGAGGGGAAAGAGGGGCGGCGGGGGGGGAGGTGCAACCACTTTGATTTTCAAAAGGGCCTACTCCCTTGTCAAGGGAGGTGCCTCACAACCAATCATCCCACCCTTGTCAGAATTTGAAAAGCGGCTCCTCTTCCTCTTTTCCTCTCCCGTCCCACACCTCACACAACCAAGCATCCCACCCTTTCTCCTTCATCCCCCCCTACCAGGGTGGAGTGGCAGCCTCATGGTCCTGGCTGCATGGCTTCCTCTCAGGCGACCTGCAGTGGTCTCTCATCTTTTCCACTTACACTCACACAAACAATCACCTCTCCTCCCCTTCCCTCTACCGCCCCTGCCAGGGTGGAGTGGCAGCCTCGTGGTCCTGGCTGCATGGCTTTCTCTCAAGCGACCCTGCATGGTGGCTCATCTGGCCCCCACCACTTACTCAGCCTAGCAACTCCTTTTCTCCTTCCCTCCCCCACTCTACCAGGGTGGAGTGGCAGCCTCGTGGTCATGGCTGCACGGCTTCCTCTCCAGCGACCCAGCAGTGGTGGCTCATCTGCCCCCCACCACTCAGTGCGCCATACTGTACCAGCAATGGCGCCGGGAGGATGCGTTCCTCCCCTCCTCCTCCCCTCCGCCTCTCTCCCCCTTCCACACTCGAAGCACGGTACAGCTGCTGCAAGCCGCTGTTGCCAGGGAGGTGAGGGAGAGAGGAAATGCAGGCAGGGCGGCAGGCGAAGAGGAGAGAGAGGGAGCCGAGATAGACGGAGCAGCAGGAGAGGGAAGGCCGGTTGAGGAAGAAGGTGCGGTGGTGGGAATCGTGGGACTGCTTGCAGGGAAGCTGGGCTCTCGGTTGGAGTCCAAACGCGCCAGCAGTAGACGGTGCCTGGCTGAGATCTTCTCCCCTGACTTGCTGCTCATGCTGGCAACTCGGGAATCGGCAGCAGCAGGGGGAGCAGCAGAAGTAGGAGAAGTAGCAGAAGCAGAAGCAGCACCAGCAGCAGCAGCAGTTTCAGCAGAATCGACACCTGCTGCAGCCTTTCCGGCAGAAGCAACGCTGGTGAAGAAGACAGGGGACAGGCTTGATGTGGGGTGGCTGGGGGTGATAAACCAGCTGCCCATGGCACGGGCTGCTGCAAGGCTGCTGCTGCCTGCAGTGTGCCGCGCTGTGATGCGAGAAACACTCCTTCCCACGGTGAGAAACACTCCTTCCCACGGTGAGAAACACTCCTTCCCACGGTGAGAAACACACCTTCCCACGGTGAGAAACACGCACTTGCACTTTGGAGATTTTGAGGGTGCTCTATTTCCTGCTCGCCTGCTGCTGCCAGCAAGCAGTGTGTCGTGCTGTGATGAGAGAAACACACGTTCCCAGTGTGAGTGTTTTGATGCCTTTGTCGTACCACCATTGAGTTCTGTTTGCATACATATCATACATGCAGTAACCCCCACTCGTTTTCGATGCTGCACTGCACCTTGTGCTAGGTCGTTGCATACATTTTGTACCTGCACTTCTGGTATCACCTTGTAGCACCCTCCCCCTTCTCTAACCCCTACCGATTCTCCCTCCTGCTCCTTGTGCCAGGTCGGTGCATACATATCGTACCTGCACTTGTGGTACCGCCAGCAGCAGAGCCACCAAGCTTGCAGGCAGCAGCAGGGAGAGGAGACGGCGGTTGACAGTGGGGGGGTGGAGGAGAAGGTTGGGCATAGGATTGTGGGGGTGAGTGAGAAGATGGGGGACGAGGAGGGGAGCGAGAAGGGAGAAGAGGAGGAGAAAGGGAAGGGAGGAGAGGAGGGAAAAGAGGAGGGAGAGGAGGGAAAAGAGGAAGTAGGGAGAAAAGAGATGGGAGAGGAGGGAAACGAGAAGGGAGAAATTGAGGGAGAGGAGAAGGGAGGGGTTGCGAAAGGAGGGGAGGAGGGAGGGGATGGTGGAAGAGAGGAGAAAGGAGGGGAGGAGGTGGAAGAAGAGCATGAGGGTGCGAAGGAGAGTGAGAAGGAGAGTGAGAAGGAGAGTGAGAAGGAGAGTGAGAAGGAGAGTGCGAAGGAGAGTGAGAAGGAGAGTGAGGAGAGTGAGAAGGAGAGTGCGAAGGAGGGTGAGAAGGAGAGTGTGAAGGAGGGTGCGAAGGAGGGTGAGGAGGAGGGTGAGAAGGAGGGTGAGAAGGAGCGTGAGGAGGAGGGTGAGGAGGGTGAGGAGGAGGGTGAGAAGGAGCGTGAGGAGGAGGGTGAGGAGGGTGAGGAGGGTGAGGAGGAGGGTGGGAAAGAGGGCGAGGAGGAAGGTGAGAAGGAAGGCAAGAGGGAGGGTGAGAGGGAAGGTGAGAAGGAATCAACTGCCCATACTCCCCTCGTCTCTACTCCTCCCCCCGTCTCTTCACCCCACGCCCATGGATCCTCCGCCCTCCCCTTTCCCCCGCTCAATCTCCCCCTCCTCTTGGCCCGTCTCATCCGCACCCGCCCCCTCCTGGCTCGCCGGCTGCTCTCCCCACTTCCGCCCCTCCTGCCCATTCCGTCCCTCCTGCCCCTTCCGCCCACCCACCTCCTTCAAGGAGGTGGGGAAAGGGCAAGGGAGAAGGACGGAGAAGGGGAGATGGCTGAACGGGAGAAGGATCATGTGCTGGATGTGATGGGAGGGAGAGATGGGAGAAGGAGAGAGGAAGAAGACGAGGAGATGGCGGATGTTAGGGCTGAAGAAGGGGAAGAAAATCTGGAACGCCCGCCTTGGTCGCCTGTGGTGAGCCAAGGGGCGGGTGGGAGGGATGAGGGGGATGGGGGAGAAGAGACGGAGCAAGGAAAGAGAGAAGGTGGGCAGGAGACGGGGGAGAAGAGGGATATGGATGGAGGGGACAATGGGGACGGGGAGCGCGGGGAGAATGGGGATGGAGCAGAGGCAATGGGACTTGTTTTGAGACGTCTCAAAACACGCGGGGAGAATGGGGATGGAGCTCTGGCAATGGGACTGGATGGAGCGGCGGGTGGGGGAGGTGAGGTCGGTGGGAAAGGAACTGCTGCTGGTAAGGCAGCGGGTGCAGCTGACAAGGACGCCACTGCCTATGATGTAGGTGTCGTGGGGGAGTGCATGGAGGTGGATGGGAGGGGAGAGGGAAGAGAGGAGGAGAGAGCGGAAGGGGATAAAGAGGGCCGTGAGGAGGAGGTGGAAAGGAGGGCGGATGCAGTGGATGGTGATGGGCTGAGAGGAGAGGAGGGAGAAGAGGGTGTGTGTCCATGGCATGTGGTGTCTGTGATGTGTCATGTGCTGCGAGAGGCCCTGGAGGGAGGGATGGGAAAGGGTATGGGAGAGGGGGTATGGGGGCGGGTAAGGGAGGGAAGGAGGGCTGACGGTGAGGAGTGGGTTCTTTTCGCCCCTGCTGCTGCTGCTGCTGCTGCTGCTGCTGCTGCAAGCACGGACAGTGCGGATGCATCTTCTGCAGCACGCATGGACGGCACAGGTGCATCTGCTGCTCTCCCTCCTGCTCCCCCTGGGCTTGTCCTCATTCCGTTGGTGGTTGTGAGAGCTGCTGTGGACGTGCTGTTGCTGCTCGCCTCCCATCCTGCTCTCTCATCAACCCCCACCACCACTGCTCTCTCTTCTCCGGCTGTTGCTGCTCTCCCTGCTCCTCCTGCTGCTCCCAGCACGAGTGCAATCGCTCGTGGCCCCCCTCTCGCTTCCGTCACTGCAAGGAGCGCGTATCAACGGCTGAGCCAACTGCTCTTCTCGCATCCTATCACTCCCGCCTCTGCTCTTGCTGCTGCTGCTTTGCCTCCGTCGGTTGAAGCAGCAGCTGCTGCACCCACTGCTGGTGGAGCATCCAGCCCTGCAACTGATGGCCTTGATGCAGCTGTTACAGCTACTTTCTCCGCCAGGGTGTGGCGAGTCAAGCATGTGGCAGGCAAGGCAGGGGCGGGGAGGGGTTTGCAGGGAGGTGTAGGGGTAGCTGAGGAAGGGGAGAAGGCGGAGAGAGGGGAGGAGATGAGTCTCATAACGAAAGAGCAAGCGTTGCTGCTTGGTGAAGGATGGGTAGCGGAGGGGCAAGATGGTAGGGATATGGTGGGGGAAAGAGAAGGTATGGATGTGGATGGTGGAAAAGGGAAGCAGAGTAAAGAGCTCCCACAGAGAGCAGATGGCGGGGGATTGGGTGAAGGAGTAGAAGGACAAGGAGCGGAAGGAAGAATAGGAGGAGGAGGAGTGGAGGCGATGGAAACAGATATGGGGGACACAATGGGGCTGGCACCGACTGCACAAGACACAGCAGCATCACCAGCAGTAGAGGCAAGAGCAGCAGCGGCAGCTGCGGCAACAGTAGCAGCAGAAAAAGAAGAAGCGGAACCAGTGTCAGGAGCAGAACACGCATTAGGAGGAGGAGAGGGAGGGCTTCAGCCAAGCAGTCTGCTTCTCTCGTCCCCGTTCCTCCTCCCCATCCTCCTCTCTCTTCCTCTCTCTGCGTTCAAGGCCCAGGTGAAGCAGGCAGTGCAGGCAACCTTACTGGGTGGGGGGATGGGCGCACAGGGAGCGGAAAAGGGGGAAAGCGGGATTGGTACAAACGCTGCGAGAGAAGCGAGCAGGGAAAGGGAGGAAGCGAGGGAGGGGGGGGAAGAGGGTGGCGTGGGGGTGTTAGTGGGGCGGCTTGTGCGCGTGTTGGAAGGACTTGTTGGGCTGCAACAGGGGGATGAAGCCGCTACTGCAGGTGAGGCGCGTGGGGAAGAGGAGGAGAAGCGTGGTCGGTGCAAGGGGGAGCGTGCAGAGCAAGAGGTGGCGCAGGTGGCGCAGGTGGCGCAGGTGGCGCAGGTGGAGGAGGAGGAGGAGGAGGAGGAGGAGGAGGAGGAGGAGGAGGAGGAGGAGGAGGAGGAGGAGGAGGAGGAGGAGGAGGAGGAGGAGGAGGAGGAGGAGGAGGAGGAGGAGCAGGAGGAGGAGGAGGAGCAGGAGGAGCAGGAGGAGCAGGAGGAGCAGGAGGGGCAGGAGGAGCAGGAGGAGGAGGCAGCACAGGGAGAGGACTTGCAGGGAGGAAAGGCAGGAGGCTCGCTCCCCAGTGCAGAGAATGAGGCCAAGGCTGTAGCTTCCCTGGAAGCACTTCTGCTGCTCGACCCCTCTGCCTCGCACCCCAGCTTCCGCTCCTTCCTCTCCCTCACCCACACTCACAGCCACAGTCACAACCACAAACACAATCACAGTCAGACTCGCGGTTGCAATCGCACTCACTCCTTTTCTCCCTCTCCGCGTCTCCTGCTCCTCCCCCGTGTGCTCCATGCCGCCTATGCCTCCCTCTCTGAAGCACGCCTGCCTGATGCTGCCGTTTTCAGCCTCGCCGCCTTTCTCTGCCGGCAAGGGGCGCGCTGCAACTTACCCTCAGTATTACAAGGGCACTGTTTGAAGTTACCTGTTGGAGAGGATGTGAGGGGGGAAGGAGGTGGGGATGAGGTGTGGAGTGTGTGGGCTGTGCGGGAATCGGCGCAAGCCGCTCTTGGATTCATTGCAAGTTCGCTCGAGAGAGTTGGGAGTGGTGGTCAAATCCGTGTGCTCGCTACGGTGCGATCTCAGCCGTCCGTTTTTGCTTTGTCATCCAAGGAAGCTGCGGGGCTCGCTCAGATCGCTGCTGCTGAGCTGGCAGTTTCTGATTGGCTGATCGAGCACGCCGTTTGTCAAAAGGACGTGTTGAAACAGCAAGCAGAGGGAAGCAGGGCAGATGGAGGAGGAACGTGGGGAGTGTGGAGAGGCTTAAGAGAGGGGGAAGTGGAGGGGGAGGAGGAGATGGAGCAGGAGGAGGAGAGGAGGCGAGTGGATGAAAGGGAGGTGGTTCTGGTGCAGGTGTTGACAAGAGCAGGTGGCTTCCTGGAAGCTGCTGATGATGCTGATGCTTCTGCCGGTGATGCCAGTGGTTGGGATGCTGAAAGTGGCGATGGTGGTGGTGGTGGTGGCAGCAGCACCCGTGCAAGCCGGGCGATTGTGGATGAACTGTGAGCGCTGCTTCCTTCCTTCCTTCCTTGCTTCCTTGCTTCCTTTAGGGCCCCCCAAAAGTTCTATGGCAGGTACTTGCTTGAATCCCGGCCATGGTGATTATTTTTCTATGAGTTATGATTTTATGTACCCATTGCTCCTCCCTCCCGCACTTTTTCTCAGGTGTCGACTCACTGAGCAGCAGCAGTGGAACCACCAGCAGGGCAATCAAAACCATCGTTTTATGGCAGAAGCTGCGTGGAAGCTTCTCGCAGGCCTCTACTGCACAGCACCAGATGCACTTTCCAGGCACCTTCCTGAGCCGCGGGTGGATTGGAAGGGTCGTGTGGCATCTCGGTTTGCCCCTGAAAGATACGCCCGGGCATCTGAAACTCTCTCCTCATTGGTCCGCGCTCTCCAGCAACTCGTTCAGTCCTGCCTGCCCGGAACTTCTTCCGGGCAGGAAACCAAATTGGGTGCTGAAGTTTCGACAGGGGTGGGAGGGGAAGGAGTGGGGGGAGAGAAGGGAGGGGAAGGGGCGAGGGAGAGTGGAAAGAAACGGAAGTTGGAGGAGGAAGAGGAGGCGGAGAGAGAGAAGGAAAGGGAGAAGGAGAGGGAGAGGAAGACAGCAAGCACATTGCTGTATCTGCGTGGCATGGCGGTGGCTCATCCCATGCTTCTCATTCCCTTGCTGCCCATGCTGGCAGCACAGCTGCAGGTGAGTGCTTCTCACGTTTTGAGTTGTCTCAGAACAAACTTGTAATCATCCCATGGTTCTTATTCCCTTGCTGCCCCTGCTGGCAGCACTGCTGCTGCATGTGAGAGCTTGTGACTTGCTCGTCCCAGTCACTCAAGTCAGCAGCAGTCAACGCCTTCTCGTCTGCCCTTGTGCTGCTCTCCGCCCTCCAAACCTCCCAGCCCTCCCTCGCCCTCTTAAAACCTCACATCTTCCTCCACTCCCCCACTCTTATACCCCATATCTCTGCCCCACACCCCAGGACCTCATCCCCTTGGTGACCTGCTCGTCCCAGTCACTCAAGTCAGCAGCTGTCAACGCCTTCTCCTCTGCCCTCGTGCTGCTCTCCGCCCTCCAACCCTCCCTTCTCGCCCTCTACAACCGTCCCCCCTCCACCACCACCACCACCACTGCCACCACCACCACCACTGCCACCACCACCACCACTGCCAACACCACTGCCACCGCCGCTTCTACCGCCGCCGCCACCACCACCAGCAGCAGCAGCAGCAGCAGCAACGTGTTGGCAGTGGTTGTGCAGCCGTACTTGGACCTTCTGCTGACGCTGAGACTGAGAGACAAGCCCACCGTGGTGAGGCTCGTGGCCCAGGTCTCTGACTTCCTGCTCCGCTGCTGCTCCCACTCTGCTGCTGCTGACGTGCATGCGCACAGGCACACGGGCATGCATGGTGCCATGCATGGTGCCATGCATGGTGCCGTGCGTGCTGATATGCGCATGGGCTCACATGGTGCCTTGCACACAAGCGTGCATGCATCCGCAGCAGCACTGGGTAACCCTAATCAGCAAGCAGGCTCCCATCTCAGGAGCTTAGATCTAGTGCGCGCGCACAGGGGCGGCGCGTTGGCGCACGCAGCGAAGCACTTTGGGAAGGTGAAGAAGCTGAAGCTGCTGCTCGCAGCACTAGACTCCAGAGACAAACTCACTGTGGAGAGAGAGGGTGAAGGCGAGGGAGGGGATGGGTCCCTGGGGAATTGGGTGGGGTTGAGCGCGAGGCTGGTGTGTGTGCTGCAAGGCTCAGCGAGTGGTGCTTTAGTTGAGGACGAGGGGTGGTTGTCAGGAGATGATGCCTCTGCTGCTGCTGCTGGCATTGCTGCTGCAGCAGTAGCAGGAGCAGGAGAGAGGGGGAATGTGGAAGCAGTGATGGGGGTGCTACAGGAGATAGAGTCATTAGCAGCACAGCAACCAGCTAGACTAGCCCTCCTGCAGCAACCTCTCTGTTTAGCTCTTCACTGCTGCCCGTTCCCCCACTCTCCCTCTCTTCCCTCCTCCCTTGCTGCGGCTGCTGGTGGGGTGGAAGGGAAGGTGGATGGGGGGATGGTGGTGGATGCGGTGCTGAGGCTGCTGGAGCGAATGCTGCTGCATGCCTACAGGTGAGAGATAGGGTGCTGCCTGCTGCTGTGGTAGCCTGGTTATCAGCAGTGGAAGGGAAGGTGGATGGGGTGATGGTGGTGGATGCGGTGCTGAGGCTGCTGGAGCGAATGCTGCTGCATGCATACAGGTGAGGGAGAGGGTGATGCCTGCTGCTTGCTCTCTGCTCTCTGCTCTTTCACGCTAATTCTGCAGTTCCAAGTGTGCACAAGGGAAGCATAGCATGGCATCACGCTCGTTTTCACAACCCATGCTCTGTCTCTGCTTTTTTCCCCACGCCCGGCTTTTCATGCAACTTCAATGCTCCTATGCTCCCGTTGTTCCTGTCTCTTCTCTCCTCCCCACCCATACCCTCTCTACTCTCTCCTTCCCAATTCCCCCCCGCCGACCTCCTCCCATCCCCTCCCATGCAGTGCCTGTGACCTCGCCCTCGTCGCCTCCTCCCTCCTGCGCCTCCTCCATTCACTCTCCCTCCACCCTCAACCCTCCCTCCTGCCCCTGCTCTCCTCCTACATGCCTCGCCTGCTCTGCCTCCTCCCAGGTATGATCATTCCGTCTTAGTATCATGAGAGAAAACAAACAGACAAACAAAGAACCAAACCAACAAGTGGTTTCGGTGTCTTCAGGTATTGGTGTTTGTTTTCGAATGAGAAGCTGACTGACAGTGCGTCCTCTCTCTTGTGTTTCACCTGTGTGTTTGCCCACAGTGCGTCCTGCCCCCTTGCATCCGCCTCCACCCACCCGTACCAGGCAATTAAGATATCCTTGCCACCCCACCCTTGCATCCACCCTTAGTTCCCCTCTATCCTACCGACCCAGACTCCCCCCCCTCCTGCCTTTCACCCTTTCAATCTCCCCCAGCAGACCACAGGCAGCAACTGCTAGATGCTCTCATGCACCTGCCGCCACACCACTCACTCCCACCACCTCCACCCATCAGCATGGGCTTCACCTGCGCCCCTCCCCACTTCCACGAGACACCACCCGAGCCTGGGAGGCTCGGCACCAGCAGCAGCACGCCCCTCCGTGATTCCGATGACCCGCTGCTCTGTACAGTGCGCTGTATAGTGGCCGTAGAGTTGTGAATCTGTGGAGCCATGTGGAACTAGCATGCGACTGAAGGTGCAGGAGGGTGCTATATGTGGTTCTGAAGATGTGAAGCCGTAAAGCTGATGGCTTACTTGACAAATTGAATGAGGGTACATTATTCTTCAAGGTAAAGCGCTGTAGAAAAGCATATCAGCCCCCATGAACTCGTGTTGGGTACCTGTAATAATATGTCACTATGTTACAAGAACTTTGATGCTCATGATTTGGATCCCTCCTGCTGCCTCAGCGTTTCAGTCCATTTGGGCACTCCTGCTGCCTCATTTGCTGCCTTCTGCTCCCTCAGCCTTTCCCTGAACTCCCTGCTGGCCTTGAGATTCACTGTTCTGCGCTCCACTTTCTGCACTCAACACACTCAACACACGACAGCAGGAGACAGGGAAGGTGATGTTTGAATGGACTCAAACGTGCACTCCCAGGCCCAGCTGGCGTTCCAACAAGCACCCCAGCTAGAGTGAGCACTACCTCTCGTCTGAAGAATGCATCCTACTGACATGTGCATTACCTCTTGTCTGAAGCACGCATCCAGCTCCACCTTGACGCCGCTGCACACGTTCCAGAACTTGGCAATGGGGTGCTCCTCGTGGCATCGCTTCAACTTCTCGATCAGCTGCACAAGGGAACGGTGGAACAGGCAAATTCGATGTAAGTCCGTGACCAAGCGAACAGGCACAGACGTATGCTCTCAGCATGTCAAACCGATGTAGATTAACGAATAAATCATTAGCCATGGGATACATGAATATCAATACTCTGGCATAGCCCGTTTCTTGTGCTCAGACATGGCAAAATAAAACACCCCATGGCCGTCGTTTCCAGATGAGGATGCTTTTCTCATATTTAGGACAGATGTTCTCTCACCTCTGCGCATTTCGGGTGCTTCTCAACGGTCAATAGAGGGTGCATGTAGCCAGGATGCCTGAACCGCGCAGTGAAAGGGTCACCGTGATGAATCTGAGCCTCAGAACAGCTTCTTAATCGTCAGTCCGTAGCGAGAGTACGCATAAGCCGACCAATATGGATCCGAGAGGCTGCAGGCTACCGTTTTGTATGCTACAGAAAGGGAAACACGATTCACTGCTGCGGCCTTGGCAGTGAGCACGGGCACAGTGGACCTACTACGTTGATGTGTGAGACGCTGACTGCACAATAAATGATAAACGCAGTTAGGACGCAGGCCGCAAATACACGTATGATGTACTCGAGTCGAGGACCTAGCTAATAGGCCGTAGAAGGTCGTCAGTGTCAGAGAATAATTGGCTGATCATCTTACACGAATCTCTGGACCTCAGCAGCACGAAGCTTCAAGCGAAGCAGCGGGCAAACCACGTCAGAACATCCCTCGATTACACACATTGGTACATATCGATACCGAAATACTTCGCAGATTAGTTATCTGAAAATGTATTTTCGAGAGGGTGGGTGCGATTGGCGAATGCAGCTCAACCGCAAAAACACGTCTGTCACAGACGCGGTTTCTCTGCTCGCATGGCTTGGGCTGGGGCAACTGCCAGTGGGACTGCTTGCTGCATCTCGATCACGCAGGCGAAAGATTTCGCGAAGACTGAATGTTCGTTTCTCTTTTCGTCTAGCGAAACCGAACTCGCACAGTTCCATTACCGCAACAGGCACCATTACCCAAGGCTGTCGAGTGCACTGTACTGCAAGAACTGCATATCGCCTCAGAAACTCGGTTAACTTGAAACAACCATGGATGGTTGTCCTACCTCGAGACTAGAGCCTCGGAAATACAGTATCTCACGACTTCCAACGTGCAGGCAACAGCCTTCGGTTCTGACTGGTTTTGGGAGGTTGGCTGTTCCTAGACCTGTTCTTGACCTTTCTTAGGTTCCTTGATGCTGGATCCTCCTTAGAGCTGGCTTTCCCTGATCCATCCTGACTTATCGTATGGCGGAATAGTTGTTGTGTAGTCTAGAAGCGATAGCGACTCATTTCACGCCAACACTAGACTGTCTAGCCATCTTAGGGTTTGTATGTTTTTGGAGCATTAGCAGAGACTTGTCGATATGGCCATGCTAAGCAGCTGGCAGGCCGACCCGCTCTTTCCGGCAGCGGAGGAGGTGCAGGACTCAGCAGACAGGTACGCTGGTCGAGTTCCGTCAGGCATTGCTTGCATTTTCTCATACGCGTAGTCTCCGTCGCTACGTTCGTGGAGTACAGTCGCAGGTCTGGTTTCAGTCTGTGTTATCCTTCGAAGTTTATCGGCCTTAATCTCAGCATTTGTTTACGTTCAGTCATAATCTGTCAGAATTAATTATCTCTCTTTTTCTTGCCGCGATGCGTAAGCAGGCTGCGATCCAGTTTCCACCAATGGCAGCAGCTCGCGACGGCTGATACCACCGCGTCAGGAGGCGGAGGATCAGCGAGGGTAGACGAGGAGAGCGCGAGGCTCGTGCTCTTGTCTGCATGCGATACCTTGAAATGGCAGGTGCGGATTGGCCAAACAGGCACGTGCTCATTTGCAACCTGTGCACTTTAGTTAAAAATGGCCGATATTAATACGACGAACCTCCGTCTTGCCTTCTCACTTTCTTGTGTGTTAGTAAGTGTTCCGTCATCCCCGTCAGTTCCTCCTCCTTTTACTCTCGTTCCGTTCCTCCACCTTCCCTCCTCTACCCCCCGAGCAGCTTCAGGAGTTTGAGCGCGCTGTGCTCCGCGATGCCGCTTCCCCCGCCGCGTCTCTCCGCCGCCCGGAGCGTGCGAGCGGGGGGCGACCGCAGGAGGCGCATGCGCGGAGACAGCGGTTCATTTCCGCCATCCGCGCGCAGCTCGCGCAGGTGGATTCCGCCGTCCGCCGATCGTCCTCACCTAGAAAAGCCATTCGGCCCACAGGTCCCGCGTATTGTCCCGGAAACGGCGCTCCTGCTGCGGATTCTACGCACCCGTCCCTGCTGCTTTCCTCTCTGTCGTCCAACTTTTTTGGCTCTGTCTCACGGGCCGTTGGTACCAGCGCTCGCTACAACAGCAGCAGCAGCAGCAGTTACGCCGGGAAAAGTGGTATCAACAGCAGCAGCAACAACAACAGTAGCAGTAAGGACCAGATTACGTCAGATCACTTGGTCAGTTTCCTCTCCGCCCCGTCTGCCCCTCCGCCCTCCGTCATTTCCCCGCAAGAGTTGCAACTGCGCCCGCTCGCTATAAGGAAACCGGAGCTGCCCGTAACGAGCAGCTGGCTAGGGGCAGGCGATTGTAGGGAGCGTGGATCTATGGGGGTTCTGCTACCGACAGCAGCGCCAGACCAGGGAGCGAGTAAAGCGGGGCACAGTGGTCCAGTGTGGGCCTCTGATGATAACACCATAAGCAGGGAAGGGAGGTCGCGTTGGCAACAGCAGGAGGAGCAGGCGCACAAGCAAGAGCAGGATTGCGCATGGCGGGAAACAGCAGTGGGCGCGCATCCCGTTAGCAGAACCAGAGCGGGTGGGAGTGAGAGTCGGGGTGGGTCAAGGCCACCAGTGACTGCTGCAGGGGTGTTTGGCGCACCTGCTGCAGCTGCCGCTGCTTCTGCTGTTGCTGTTTCTATGCCCTCCCATTTACTGCAGTGGTTGAATGCGGGTACTAACAGTCCACCATCCGCGGCCTCAGTCGCAGGCAGATGGATGCAAGGCAGTAGAGTGGGAGGTGGGGAGGGTCAAGAGGAGGAAGAGGAGGAGGGCGGCGTAGCATGCGTGGGGAAAAGGTGTGTTGATTATTTGTCGGAGAGTGAGGGGGAGAGGGACGATGTGGGTGCGGCAGCGGGGAGAGAGAGGGCTTCGTTGCAACTGAGGGCAGACCATCAGGCTGTGGCGGCAGTGAGAGTATGCGTGGCGAGAGATGCCACAGCAGGAACTGGTGTGGGTCGACGGAAAGGAGCTTCGTTCTCATCCCTTCCCGCCGCTGTC